GAATATATTGTTAAAAATTGAAATATCATTTAACATTCTCACTATAACAGCGTATAAATAATAAAGACAATGACAACAATGGAAGAAGATATATGTACATACCCGTAGTTTAGGCTACGCTCTATGTTCTTTAATGCTACCCCGCAAAGGAGTCCTTAAATGGTTTAGGAACGCATAGAAGACAAACGATAAAAGGTAAAAAATATTTTTGGGCCAGTAATAGGCTTCGCAGACGTACACAGAATTTTATTACACACACACAGAAAAAATCAGAGTTATATTACAATCGGATCAATGGTTTAAGAACTCATAGAAGACAAACATAGACCGTTCATTTTTATTTATATATATAAAGAGATAGATAGTAACAATATGTATGTAACTAATAAATTTTCATTTTGATGTCGTTTAACGTTTTCAAACCTTAGAGATTAGGTTAAGTTTGAGTAATTTGCTAACGCAAGAGGCTGCGGTTATAAAGGCGTTTCTTAAACATAATACTATACGGGAAATCAAAGGTTTTGTGGTTACTTTCAATATGCACATATCGAGTAAACTAACTTGAACACTCGTAGATTGTATTTCTTTCTTACATACGTAGTTAAACTGATAAAAGGAGCATTATAGCATCAAAATTCACATGTTACAAATTAAATATCCTGTGTAATTCGTATGTTAAAGCTATGTTTTCTTTACAAAAAACGAAACAATGCAACATAAAGGTACAATATTTGGTTTTATTACGCTAATTTATAAAGATTTTTTTCGTAAACTCCATGAGTGAACCATTCAGGAGGCGATCACATCATTGCCAAAATGACTTAAAATTAATAATTCCGCCTGTTCACGCCTAAAAACGAATTATGTTAATTTGATGATAAAAGCGAAAAATTCCATCACATACCTAAATAAATATAATATTAAAAAAAAATATACAAAAAAAAGCGAAATGAAAATTATAATTATAACCGTTTGGAATAATTCCAAAAATATTAACTTAGCTAGATAGATATAAATAGAATTAATGTATCCGGGGTGTTTTTTTTACCAAATTAGTAAAATTGTCTATTATAATAAAATATAAGGTTATTTTAAAAAATATAATTCAAAACAAAAGAAGTCTCACACTCTTCCAAAAAAATAAGGTCAATAAAGAATGGTACAATTCAAAAACATCAAGATATGACTCAAATTTTCCAAGTAAACATTTTAGCTAACAGACCGACCTTAAAACCTTATAACGGCTTTTATAAGTCTGGTACTAATTAAATAATATAATATATGTTTGTATGTACATACATAAATATAATAAACAGTGAATTGAATTTGTACCTACATTTTTTTATATTGTATAGTATATTTCTTAACACAAAGTTTTAAATTTCAAGTCAGAAAAAAAATATGATATGAGCTCCTTAACTATCCTGCTCTATTTTAAGAAAACCAACACGTGACACCAACTAAATATATTATGTAATATTTATATATAATAATGCAGTAAGTTTTGTTTTACATTGCTTTATAATATAACTAGCATTGCCCGCGGCTCCGCCCGCGTTCAGATGACCAAAAACTAAATTCTTAGGTGTTACATATTAGTATACTCTTACATTGCAGTTTTTGTATTTTTCCTCAGAAATAAGATATTTTCCCGCGGTAAAAAGTATCCTAGGATCGCGCGCTACATCGCCCGGTTTATATAGCTTGAGCAGGCGGTCGAGCGATGCGGGGCAGAGGGGATGGACTCGCCGTAGGCATCTCAATGCTCGCCAAGCATTAAAAATGTTTCGCTACTAATTACTTCTAACAACGATATCTCAAAAACTATTCATCTGATTGATTTAGTGTAAAGAGCAATTTTAATCTGCATTAAATGACTAAGCTAACTAAAATATTCATTTGGATAAGGATTAATACCGAACTAAAGAAAATAACTTTGAAAATAACGTAATGTTTTTAATTAAAAATGTTAACATAAAAGTGGTTATTGTAAGTCAACCGTAAGAGATAGAGATATGCTATCGCGGACTTTTTTGTAGCATTTTTATAGATTTTGAATTCTCTAGTACATTACTTAACTGTATCTTTGCTAGTTTACGCGGCGTTCGCGTGGAAAGTTCCCATTTGGCGAGATTTTTTGCGACCTCTTCAACATTTGTCGCCGTATTTCAGCTAATTTACATAAAAGCATAATAAATTATATACCTAAACCTTCCTCAAGAATTACTCTTTCTATTGTTGAAAACCGTATAAAAATCCGTTCAGTAGTTTTCGAGTTTATCGCGTACAGACAGACAGGAGGACAGAAAGACGCGGCCGGGGGACTTATTTTTATAATAAGTATAGATATGCATAGCACAGTGATAACGCGCTTGAGAAAACAAGTGAAGCGATTTCATGCTCAAACCATTTCCAATATGATTACCACTTACTTGTCTTACGGTGAAGGAAAACATCGTGAGATGGCCCTTGTTAATACTTTTGAGATGGCCCTTTTTAATAAGGGAGGCCCGTGCCCAGCAGTGGGGCGTTAAAAACGGCTGAATACATACATACATACATCGCTTTTATATTATACGGAATATTTTTTAACACAAAAGGTGATTTATATTTAAAGTCAGAAAAAAAGTGGCTCATCTAGCCCTATATGAAGAATATGGGATATTAATTAAAATTTACTGTTACTAATATTATAAATGTGAAAGTTTAGATGGATGTTTGGATGTTTGTTACACAATCACGCTAGAACGGCTAAACGGATCTGGAGTAAAGGCACAGAGATAGATTATAGTCTGGAATAGCACACAGACTACCTTTTTATGCCGGGAGGATGTACGGTTCCCGTGGGATACATTTGTTTTTGTTTTTCTATAGGCGAACCTTAGTGAAGCGAGAGTGAGCCACTAATAATATAATATATATGCATGTATCTATGTACATATAATAAAGGAGTAAGTATGAGTTTGTGCATCTTTTTTATTGAAAGGAATATTTGTTAAAAATCTGAGTTATATTTCAACTGTTAACTAAGTGAAAAAAATTATTTCTGAGCTCCCCGAACTATCCAGCTCTATGCCAGTGGTACAAATACATAGTCTTTACCGTTGTTAGCGGTTTTGATCTACATGCTACTGTTATAAATTTATAATTAGTTCTTACCTAATATTATCTAGTATAGTATTATATGATCTGTGATATTATAAATGCGAAAATGTGTTTGTATGCCGATGATCACGATGTGATATTGCGTATAGTTTTTATGCTAAATTTAGTTTTATTTGAAGACTAGCGACTAACTCTCGCTTCACTCGGGTACGTCTCTAGGTACGTTTTAATTTTTTTTAATCTAAAATAAAAGTAGCCCAAATCACTCCTTATAACAACAGCTATGTGCCAGTGAAAGTCCCGTCGAAATCAGTCCAGCTGTTAAGATTAGCCGGAACAAACAGACAAAATGTTAAAAATTGTGTTTTTCTTATAATTACAAACGTATAATATAATTTCATATGCATTTAGTAAAAAGCTTTTATTTCGACATCACGAACAGACACTTCAATTTTATTTATCTGTACAGATACTTATCGATCATTTACAAAAAGTTATTTTGAGAGTGTGTTAAAAAGTTGCATTGAATGTATGTATGAACATTTCCGAATATTCTGTTTAGCTTTTTCTGAGTGTATTAACAAAAACTACCTCGTTATAATAATACATAATACAAGAGAACTTTGAATAGAAATTAAGATAAATTAGAAAACAAAACAATATAACGACTAAAGGCTAATATTGGGCATTTATTGTAAACATGAAGAAGAACAAGTTAAGACTGAGGATTTTCGACGAGCGTAAATGAAAAAAAAACATAGGTATTAATTTTAATAGCAGAAGCAATATATATAAGTTTTATATAGTTTGTAGAGCTCGTTTCTGTCAATTTTCCAGTTATGTGCACTAATATGTAAAAAAATATATGTATGTCTATCTTATACAGTAACCCTTAAATAAGATACAAATATGATGCGATTAAGACGTTTTTATTACTATCATATGTGATTTTAATTCCATACTTCGTTCGATAATTTCTGAGATGAGATAATTTCTTTTTTTAGATATTTGTTGTCGAATTGATATTAATTTATTTGTTTAATTTATACAAATTCATGATTATTTTATGCAAATATATTTTTTTTCACTTTTAGTACACAAGAAATTACGTAAATGATAACGTAACATTAAGTAATTATTTTAAGTAATTAGTAGTACCTACATTTGCATTTTTTGCCTTGTGCTAGTCGAAAATCTATACATATAATAAAAATGTAACAAAGCCGAATCTGTACATTTTTTTTTGAAAATCTTATTGAAATACATTATAATTTTTAGAATTTTTGTCTGTCTGTCTGTTTGCGACCGCATCACGGAAAAACCACTGGAGGAATTTGAATGAAATTTGGTATGATGATAGCTGGTTATCCATGGGTTATATACTTTTTACTATGGGAAAATGTCTCATCAGTGAGAAATCTATACTAAACGTCAAAACGTAAGTAGGGCCGAAACCTAACGATGGAGCGAGAGTGAATCACTAGTAATATATAAATCTCAAAAGCAAACTAACCCTAATTAGGTTCATAAAGTAAAAAAAAAGATAGAGAAAAAAAGTTGACGTTAGACGTAAAGCTCTGAAGCCTAAGTCATTAATTATTAAAAAATAATAATTTAATTCAAATATTTATAATAATAAAGACCATAATTAATTTAAATTATATTAATAGTACGTGCAATAACGATATTTTATTAATTTCTAAAACAAAAAAAAATTGAGGAATATAAAATACTCAGCAAAATGTCAAACTAAGCAATTTACCGCGCAACGACCACCATAATATGACAATATGACAACTTGTAGGTGTGTATGTTTATAAATGAATGTAACATTTATTTATATTTAAGTAGAAACGCTGATTAAAAAAAAATTTTTTTCTTAATTACATACTTACAGTAAAACAAGCCAATATAAAACCCGACGACTGCAATCACAAATTTTACGACATCATTCGCCGCTTCTGAATCGAACCTTTTTAATAAATCACTAATCATTATGTAAGCTTTCACTGGTCTAGCCTTACACTGATTCTCCACCATGATTAAAAAAAATATTTAAACACAGATAACCCAATGACCGGCACAGAATAAAAAAATAAAATTGTCAAGGGAAATAAAAAAAAACGTATTATACAGACGGAGTCTTGATTAAGAATGATTATAATGACAACGAAAGTGCTGAGGCGAGCTCGCTTGCTGACCCTAACGTATTATTTTCATAATATCTCTATCAAAACACATATCTATTAAAATAATATTACTCTCTTTTATTTTTATGAACAATTGTTATCGCGAATTTTAAATTTTATGCAATTTAAGCGTCCGTCTCTTTCTACAGTTACGTTGAAGTAACATTCGTACCTTATAAAAAGTAGCAGGCATACTATCGAACGCTACTTAAGTATGGTATTTTTTTATAGGATCGTTAATGTCAACGAACAGACAGACAATTTGCGTGGTGCAGGTGTAGCCTATAATCGACTAGTTTTTGCTCTCCCTGTAATTATATTTTTAGATATATATTCTTATATGGTGTACTTCATCAGGTGTACTTGTACCTACTAGACAAGGGCGGTGTTTCTCAAACTTATCATGTTATTTTAATGTGAACTGTTTGATAATTTAACTCAAGAGGTTATCTGTACCAAATACCAATATTCAGTAATAATATTTTAAAAGGGCTAGGATCTTTAATAAATCGACGAAGGATGGAATACTTTGTGACATTAATAAACACTAACTTTCGCCTGTTAGTACGATAAAAAATAGTCCATTTCGTTCTCGCCCAAATAATTTGCCCGCAAGTGAAATTACCGTTAAAATCGAAAACCGGTTCTTATTCTATCCCTTATATTCTTATATCGCGGAAACTATTTTCTATCTCGGGGTTATAAAAAAACCTATGTTACTCTCGCCGAATCTCAACTTAACCTATGCGTTGCGTATGTTTGGTATCGTCGAATGGCCAGTGTTTGTGTTTTTTTTGTTTGTTTGTTTGTCTGTTCTTCTTTCACGTCGAAACAGAGTGACGGAATGGAATGATTGTTTGTGTGGAGATAGTTGGAGAGATGGAAAGTGACATACATACATATATAGGCAATTTAGGGACGAACCCGAGCTAAGCGAGGGTGAGTCGCTAGTATGATATATGATATATTTGTGAATGAATAAAACTGGCCAATTTAATTGAACAGCAATACTTTGAGAGATACCGCCCGAGAGCTCATAATGATAGTCTTTGGAAGCTCCTATAAATTACTACATCCTGCATTTTTATTCCAGCCAAGGTAACTTAAAACCTAGATAACGATGTAAAATAAGCGTTTGATCATACGTGTTCACAATAATAACCACCACGTACCTACACAAATGTCTAAAGTACTTGTGATATGTTGCTTTCATTTGCTTTTCGGCAAATATAAAATAAAACAGTAATTGGTATTTCGGCTATAAATATTTGTTAAAATATATTTGGTATTTATACTGTCCGACCCTATTAAGCATGTTTCACTATAGAACGGATAGAAATGAAAAATATTTTTAAGTTTCATATAAAATATGCGCGCGCGCAACTACTCACAGAAACTAATATATAAAAATATAATTCCTGGGCCAAAGAAATAAGGCATATCACGCAAACGCAAACCTGCCAATTGCATTACACTGTTAAATAATTTAACAATATTATTAATTTTATAAACACAAAGATGGACAAAGGTGACATTTAGCCCGAAGGGTCAAGACGGGACTTTGTAATAAAATGAGCGGTGTGTGTCCAACTGTCAGCCTGTGCGAAGTATATATATATAGAGAAGTAGAGAGCTCTCTATATTTGGTTGTTCTTTGAATAATTTTATTTTCACAATATGTCTTATAAATCAATATATTTTCCCGCGACTTTGCAATAAATTAACGTGGTAAGCAGATTTGGGAAGAAAGAGGACTATGTCCGTTAACATGATGCATTCTACGGGGGTGCGTTTTTAAGTTCGCGGATGGGTAGATAGGTCATTAGTGAGGTACTTACTTGAGTCATTAAGAATTAAGCTACTCATTATTAGTATAAATATCAAGTTTTATCGTAATTAGGTCATTAGTCTTTGAACTATCGTCGATCAAACAAGTCAATCGGGTACAAATTGTGAAATATGGAGAAAATCGAGTACCGCACTGTTATAAATTTCCTTACCAAGCAAGGAAAATCAGGAATCAGGATTAAAGAAAGCAGTCAAAGAAAAATTGACCAAAGGTGTCCTCTTTCTACACGACAACGTACCTGTTCACAAGAGCCGCGATGGCTGCACTGCAGAAGCCACATTCTGCAGTGCAGCCATCGCGGCTTCAAAATTTTGGCCCACCCACCTTAAAGTCCTGACCAAGCTCCCAGCGATTACTACCTATTCCCAAAACTTGAAAAAAATGTTCGTGGGAAGAAATTTTCAAGCAACATAAAAGTGAAAAATACCGTTTCGGCGTGTTTTTCAGACAAATACAAAACTTTTTTTGAAGGTACACATAAGTTAATTGAAAGATCGGAAAAATGTATAAGGGTAGCAGTTGAATATGTTGAAAAGGAAAAATGAACTCGTACTTTTATTTCCACTTCTTACCTCCCTTCATTCCGCAAGCTTAAAAACGCCCCCTCGTATGTCCTTGACAAATTTTATCATAATCTGTTTAGCAGGTTCAGCGTGAAAAGATAACAGACAGATATACTTTTACGAGATTTTGTGGGTAGGCTCTGTCTATAACAATTAACAACTATACAATGACCTTTAAGACGTCTAAATCCTTAGCCTCTCCCGTGACTATGATTGCTTATTATAGTATTTACTAGGTACATGTTCGAAATCAATGATTTTTTCTCCCTCGTTAATTTCAGTTTTGACGGAATAAAAACATTTCAAGAAAAAAGAACTTTTTCCGAAAAAATATATACTTTACCACTAAACTCCATTACAATTGTTTACAAATTCAGTCAGATTAAACTCAAATACACCCGCCGGATATAAATGAAAAATACTTCATACGCGAGGTCAATTATTTATTGAAGTAGTTCATCGATTAATCAAGTCACTCAATTCGTAGTCAGCACGAAACAACAAATTGTATGAAAACTATGTTAACTCGTAACTACACGCGTATCTTAGAAGAATACCTCGTTGGTAGAGTCTGCTGGTACTATGTACGACTGCAGATCCGAAGGTCCTGGGTTCAAATCCTAGGACAGGCAAAGTATAATAGCTGAGTTTTTCTATTAAGAAATTCTCACTAGCAACTTGCAAGCAAGTTGGTGGTGATGGATGTTCGTGACCTGGAGAGTATGTAAAGCAGTTAGACTCGCGCCTGGTCTCTCACCAGTCGCATCGAAATGTTGTACCATCAGCTTTGACAGTGAAAGGAATAGAGATTGCACTGTATTTTCGCACACACTTGTATATTATAGTATCTTCAGTGCAACATGGTTAGTGTCAAAGAGATTGGTCGCCGGGCAAAAATAAGCAAAAATTATCATTACTATCCTTAAATTAGAGAAACTTTTCATACTGGAGTGTGGAAACGCTTTAAACACAACAAAGGAAAAGCAATGCGATTGAATAAAGGACAACTTCAAACTCCAACAGCTTTATTCCATTTTAATTCTTCGAATATTCAAACGTATAATGCTCCCATACAAATGCGTTCAAGTAGCCTATACTGGTTATTAAATAAAGACAATAAATATTAAACAGCATAATCATTTTAATCACATTAATATTATACGCTGTAATATATTATAATACTATGAGAACCCGCAGCTTCGCTCACGCGTAGTTTTACTACTAAAAAAACTCTAAAAAGGTAGGTTTTATAGAAACTTTCATCCCCTAGTTTACCCTCTTATGGGATCAATTTCAAAAAATGCTAAAACACGTATTTATTTAATTTTATTGAATATCATTAATACCAAGTTTCAAGTAATTCTGACCTTATATATTTTTTGGGTTGTATTATAACGTGTTTTCCCGTGGGAATTAGATAATCTCCTGCGGTTAAAAGTAGCCTATGTCACTCTCTGGCCAACCATCTCCACACAAAAAAATCACGCCAATCCGTCACTCTGTTTCGATGTGAAAGACAAATAAACAAACAATCACACTTTCACATTCAGAATATTAGCATGGAAGTATGGATAACTTACACACTTACATATATACTCATTTCAAGGTAGCCAAGATAAACAGGCATTGATCAATTAAATTTAATACTAATTGATTATGATTCCTGTTTTTTTTATTCATTTACCAAAACATGACATTTTTATCTATACACTAGCGACTCACCCTTGTTTCGTCCCCATCCTTCCCGGGGTCTCAAACTATCTGCTTATCAAAGACCATCCAGAGAATACCCCCACAATAACAACAACCATAAATTCACAAACTCACAAACTTTACCTCTTTATAATATTAGTATAGATGGCCAAATTAAAGATATGAACACTAGTAAAGAATATGACTCGATAGAACCAGTTATTGTGTATTTCCACGGGAATTAAAAGATTTTTCTGTAGTATAAGGTATCCTAAATGTTGACTCGAGTTATAACTTATCACTACAGAAAATTTAATTAAAATCGATCCAGTACCCACTTCTTGCGTGAAACACGCACACACAAATAGACAAGAAAATTAATAACTGTTGTTTAAACTACAAAATCATCGTTTTTAAAAAAATATTTCATGTACAGATTTCGCTAAGTTACTATTTTATTATATGTAAAGAGTACCTATATTAGATATATCGAGATATACTCGTATCTAATATAGGTATCATATATCGAGATATTAATGTTGTAGAAGAAGGTATCAAATACCACGAAACAATGCGCTATAATTCCAGAATTGGTATGTTACCGGACAGGTGGGGCTTGACGTAAAATTGATGCAATTGGTTAGTTTTATTTTTTCCATTATGACAAAGGAACAATTTAAAGACATTCTGAAGACCATAAGAATGTTTTACTCTAGATACAAGTGCAACACCCATTGTTGACGTATTAAAAAAAGTCGAAGCAACATTCTAAACTAAACATATTCTAGTTTCGAATATAAGAAAAACTATTAAAATATGTAAAAAAAAGCTTATCATATAGGTTTACATAAAAATTAAAAAGATAATAGAAAAAGAATCAAATATGAACAATTAGTAACCAGCTTTGGCTTTGCTTCTTTTAAAATGTTTCCTACAAATATTGCTCCCGTACAAATTTGGTGACACCTTTGGTCTATGATTGGTTAACATTTGAAAAACGTTAAATTAAATTGCATTATGAGTAGTTGTGTTGTTGGAGATATATAATATTGCGTTTCATGTTTATTGTGACACTATTATTTGCTAAGAATATCAATCACTACATGTATAAAATAAATTTCCCCCATCACGCCTGTCTGTCTGAACTGATTGAACTGACTGATTGAACTGATTTTCCTGCGGTTTTCACCAAAGGACAGAGTGAGTCATGAGGAAGGTTTATATTAAGATTTTGAGTGAATTAGCTGAAATATAATGATGACTGTTGAAGATGTCGGAAAAAATAATGCCGACTGGGAGCTTTATTGGCGATCTCTGCGTAAAGTAATAGAGTTATATGAAAACAACAATACACATACAATATATTACGGAATTTTCCTCATAAAAAGATCTATTAAAATGTAGCAATTTTACGTGCCTGAAGCACCCGAACGAAGCGACCGTAAGTCACTAGTGACTAGAGCTATGATAATTCCAGCACATTAGATCAAATTGTTAATGTAGGTGTTGATAAAAATCAGTTAGGCCACCTATCAGAAAATGATAAAGATTAGAACTATTCGTTTTTTGGGTCTGGAAGAAAGTTTTTTTTAAGGTAGTTACCTACTTTTATATAATAACTGCCTCGGCTATATATAGCTTATAGCATAGCATGTACGGCTGCACACCCGGAGGTCCTGGGTTCGAGTCCCGGGTCAGGCCAAGTTTAGTTACTGAGTCTTTCTGTATAGTAAGTCTCAGTAACAACCCGGAGTTGGGAAGTTGGCGGTGTTTCACCCCCGTGCCTCGGAGAGCACGTAAAGCCGTCGGTCCTGCGCCTTAACTCTCACCGGTCGTGTCGAGTGGTCGTCCCACCGGAGTATGAGAGTGATAGGAATAAAGAGTGCACTTGTGGTTGCGCGTACACTTGAGCACTATAATATCTCCTGCGTAGTTGGCTAATCTCAATGACCTACCTACTTTTCTATACCTACATAATATGTATGTATGTATATATAAGTATAGTCTATTTTACACTAACCGTTAAAAAATACCTTTAGATGGACCTAAGCAGAGTGAGGTAATTCGCTAGTGCATATATATAATATATGTTTGGATATAAAGATTCTGCCTACTTAAAGCTTTATGTGAATCATCAAATAGACAAACATTTTATTATTCATATAAGAAAAAATGTCTACGTTTAAAAGATCAAGGAGCATTATCCTGACCTTCAAACTTCATTTATGTTAAGTTGATTTTGGTTAAAGACTATAATTTTTTTTACAACATATAATTGTGATATTTCTTCTTATCATAGATATATCTACATCATATTTATAATATCCTTCTAGTAGTAAATTCTTTTCTTTTTTTTACTAGTTTTTCCTCTAACCAAAGGTTACTTGGAAAACATCATTCATTTAGCAATAAAACAGCCTATTGTGCAATACCTTGCTTTGATTATAAATATTTTATATTTCAATAAGCTCAAAAAGAATATACTGAAATATCAAATAAAATTTTTAAGTGCTTTAATCTATGTATAATATCTCCATATTATAATTTTACACAACGAAATAGAGTTTAAGGGGCCTTTGGTGCTAAATTATATTAATATGTATATATATACAAAGGTAATTATAAGAAATATAAAAGTTTTAAAGTATACGAAAAGTATCAATGCTTAATCGTTATGTAGTAGTAGAAATTGCTTAAATTTAATTAAATAAATGTCTTAAACTATAAATGAATTAACTTTAACTAATCTTGACCTAGATCAATTTAAGACTATTCTTTTAGTTGTAAACATTGTAATATTACAAAATTGCTACTCACCTATGATGTCATATAAACTTGCTGTGTAATTGTCAACAAAATACGAAATAAATCCCATTGTTACTATAACACATTATAATTTAACTGTAAAGGACAATGTACTTTTGTTTGGCTTCTCACGGCACTGTAAGAGTTATTATACCAGGGAGTACTATTTTGCTGACCGAGTAATTTTGTTTTTAAGCAATTATTTTTTTATGTAATATTTTTACATAAAAAAATTAATAACATATTTAACTCACATTTATTCCGTGGTCCTAGACCAATCGGTCGATAGATAAAAATATCAACATGATTTGACATTGACATAAGCAAACAAAATAAAAAAAATACATATTATTAAGACTGGGTTTAAACTTTACATCTTTATTATTCATCTATGGTACACACGGCTTTATAATGTATACTTTTTACAGTTTTATGAAATCCAATTTGGAGAATGTGGGCGTTTTCCAATTACAACACTAAAGCGCATTATACGGTATAATGCTCAACTTCGAATTTTTCAACTACAGCAACGCTCCGCTCAATGGATCATTTTAAAAAGTACTGCTTTGGCATAACTTGGATTATTAAAAAACCATAGGGATGCTTGCATTTTATTATATAAATATTCGAAGAGTAGTGATAACTATTACTTCCGAAAAAAAACATATCGTAAAGGTAAATCAACAGAGACTGCCCTTACAAGTCTTATAGACCAAGTGGAAAAGGCGTTAGAAGACAAGGAAATAGCACTATGTGCATTTCTAGATATCGAAGGTGCTTTTGATAACTCTTCTACTTCGCTGTTGATAAATGGGTTGATAAACAAAAATGTTGACCCAACAACGATAAAGTGGGTAAAATCTATGCTCACTAGCAGAAGAGCAAAACTAGCCCTCCACGACACAACTATCTATATATCCACAGCAAGAGGATGTCCGCAAGGGGGAGTTCTATCCCCACTACTGTGGACACTTGCTGTGGATGAATTACTACACAAACTGGCAGAACTCCGCATTGATGCGCAAGGCTATGCTGATGACTTGGTAATCATAGCAAGGGGCTTCTGCCAATCCACACTTTCAAGTATAATGCAGAAGGGTCTGAACACTGTCAGTGACTGGTGTGTTAGAAGTGACCTATCAGTCAACGCTGACAAAACTGTCATTGTGCCCTTTACAAACAAGCGAAGGTTAGACAAACTAGTCATGCCAAAGCTTAATGGCAAACAAATCGCATTTTCCACGCAAGTCAAATATTTGGGACTAACATTAGACCAAAAACTGACGTGGAACCCGCATCTAACTGCAGTCCTAAGTAAAGCCAAGATGGCATTGGGAATAAGTGGCCGCATGTTGGGTAAAAATTGGGGGTTAAATCCCAAAAACACACTTTGGACTTACACTGCTATTGTGAGGCCAATTATCACGTATGCATCGGTAGCCTGGTCCAATAAGGCCAAGCAGACGACAGCCATTCAAAAACTAGACAGCCTACAAAGAACAGCCTGTCTAATGACCACAGGAGCCATGTCTACGTGCCCTGGTCAGGCACTAAATGCATTACTCGGGCTGCCACCTTTAGACCTTTTCATACAAAAGGAGGCAAAAGCCAGCATGCATAGAGCTAAAATCCAAGGCAGAACTCATTGGCTCTCACGAAAAATGAGGACCCTACAGGACTCATTACAAGAAATGCCGCTACTTGGTATGACGACTGATGCCATGTTAATTCGGCACTCATTTGTAAAGTATTATACAATTGAATTTCCGTCAAGGGAAGACTGGACTAAAAGCCAGGTAATCCATAAAAACGGATCTCTCATCTGGTTTACAGATGGCTCAAAAATAGAAGCAAAGGTTGGCTGTGGGATTTATGGAGAGCGACCGAGGTTTAGCAAAAGCATACACCTCGGACAATTTGCCTCTATTTTCCAAGCAGAAGTCTATGCCATTCTAGAATGTGTAGAAGCTAATTTGTCTAAGCACTACACAAATCAAACTATCTATATAAATTCAGATAGTCAAGCTGCACTACTAGCGCTGGACTCAAACATAGTCTCATCAAAGTTAGTGGAGCAGTGCATGGACCGACTAAACCTCTTAGCAAGAAGTAACAAAGTAGTGCTAAGATGGGTACCGGGTCATGCAGGTATAATTGGCAACGAGTGTGCCGATAAGCTCGCTAGAGGGGGAGCTCTTGGCATACAGCAGGGCCCTGAGCCCTTCTGTGGGATACCTAAGAGCCTAGTTCAAAGAACCCTAATGATTGCATGTCTTAAGACTGCAAACAAGACCTGGACTGAATCAAATGGAATGAATCACTCCAAGGCATTAATTAGAGCCTACGACAAAAGGTTTAACAATCTTATGCTAGGGCTAAACAGAAAAACCTTACGAATACTGGTAAGGGCCTTTACTGGACACTGCTGCTTAAATAAGCACATGTTCAACCTGGGGCTGAGCGAAACGCGAACCTGCAGAATTTGCAGGGAGGCAGACGAAACGCCACTGCATCTTCTGTGGGAATGTGGACCGCTCATGCACAAACGTAGTATTCATCTAGGTAAACAGTTTCCAAGCCTAGATGAAATAAAAGAGTGTAACCCTAAGAAAATCCTGCAGTTCTTAACATCAGCAGGGTTTAGTGGTTCACTCTAGTACAAAATGGCGGCGATCACAATAGACCAGAAATGGTCGCAGTGATATAAAAAAAGCCGCCAAACAGAAATAAAAAAAAAAAAATACTTCCGAAAATTGAATTAGTTTAAGGTCTATATTAGAATCCCATGTGGTTGATAGTTTTGTTATTTTACTTATTCTGTGCTTTTTCAACTAAACACTTAGTCTATGGTAAAAACAGCTGATTGCTAAATACATCAAAAATCAAAATATTAAATTGTAGATAGTGAAGCAATCACAGTTTAATAATTACCAAGATTCCAAATTTGTGTTCATGTAAGATTTTAAAATGAATGATATATATTATTTCAAATTATAATTATTTAAAAAAGTTATATAAGTTTAATTTTAAAAATGCAGGACAAAATATACAACAAAATGTTGTTACGACGGAGATTTTGTAAACGAATGGTGCTAATGATATTTGCATTTGGACTATCATTTTACGCTTCAGTTTTATTATTTGGAGGATTTAGAGGTCCACAAATTATGCAACTAACAGATTTGAGTCGTTGTCCTGCTTGCTTTGGATTGTCTGTTTGCCCAGAATTATATTCCAACCAAATCGTACTAGATTCAAGCCACTGGTCAAGTATGTTCAATACCAAAAATATTTATTACGGTTACACCAAATCAAATCGTCGCGTTGTATTAAAGAAATTAGCACACGACTGGGAATTTCTGGAATTTGATGACAAAATTTGTAAAGAATTTAATTTAAAAGAAAACTGCAAAGTAGTGCATCTACTAAACGATACTAATGTTGAAGAAAAAATTTTAAGAGTTATAGAATATAATGTATCTTGGCCTGACTTAGAACCTAGAAAGGGGCTAGTTTTGTGCCCTTATACTTACAGTCTTCATGATCTCCTAAATCCCTTATTAAATGGTGTTAAGGGTAACCCAAAATCAGAAATGTTAAATATTTGGACAATGCTTTCTATCAATCCTGAACCAATAATCTTACAGGTAAGAAAATATTGCAATGCACATTTATTTTTGAATTCTTCATTATTATAAAAAATATGTTTATATGTTATTTTTTTATAGTTAATACCGAGATCTAAAGGTTGGCCAGTTCCAGCATTTGGTGGGGTCTGCGGACGTTTAGAAGTAGTGGGTCATGAGGGGGAGCCTCTTTCAGCACTACATCATATAGAATGGCACAAGAAACTAAAATATGCCCAGAAAATATTAAATGCTGCCATGGACTTTACTTTTAAACATGACAGGTAGAAAGACTATTGTTTAATTAAGGCTTGGTTAACTTTATGAATAAAAATACTTGGAATTAAAGTTGCTTGACTGTAATGCAGCCTGGCTACTATATTATAAAACTTATATAAATAATGTTATTTAAGAATTTTAAATAATTCTCAGTAGAATTGTAATCCCAAGTCAAAAAATTAAAAAAGTAGTGATATATGTACATACTTAGTGGCATACAGATGTAAGAGAAATGTAATATTTCTAAGAGATAACACTGCAAATGTTAATAATTTCAATTTAATTCAATTTTCTTGATTATGGCTTCTGATGTTGAGCATAGATTACTTTTCCAATGTGACATAGACCAATTATTTCATACTTATCTTGAGTATATGACAATTCACAATTCATAAGTAAATGATAGTTGTCAGCAACTCTAATAGAGGGTAGACTTTTTTTTTGTATTATGCCATCCCCCAATTCTTTACTGTTCTTGTAATTTTAATATTACTATGCGCTTTTTAAGGCAACTGACTTACAGTTTATGTTACCATATCATTACCTATTTTATTTAAACTTTTTTAAACCACAAACTATAATCTGTATTATTTTTGATTTAAATAATATTTATATGTATATGTAATTCCAGATTTCGTTTCTATCTCATGGATTGGTCTCTTGACAACATTGTGGCTAATGAAAAAGATGAAATTACATTTATTGATTTGGAAGACATAATTGTTCTAGACAAACACATATCTCCAAAGAAGGATTTGCCTGATTGGTATAAGCGTTATACTCGAGAAGTATTGGGTACTGGGTTCACATTCTCTATAGAAAATATGTGTAGACACCATCTAAGTGACCATAATCTGTGGGCTGCTTGCTATATACTTGCTGGAGATGAAAATCCCTTATTGTACCCAATACCTAAGGATGTTAACTCTTCACGCCCACATTTTGATAGACTACTCAATGCATGCTTAAACGGGGATGACAGATTCCGTACAATAAGCAAGCTGCAGCATGTTATTGAAGAAATGTTAATGGATGAAAAAATTGTAGGTTTTGGTGTTATTAGATGATAAGCCATTTTTGTAAAAGAATCTTTTTAAGTTTAATTTATAATTTGCATCATCTGTGATATTTTAATATGTTACTCATCATAATTATGTTAGCAAAAATATTATTCTCTATATCATTTGCTAATTGGCTCTGTCACTTGAGTGAATATTTTGATTTTTGATTTTAAATTTTAAATTTCTATGCCTTATTTACACAGAGAAATAAATAAGAAAATAATTATAAGTATTTTATTTCTTTTCTATGAGTTCCAATATTAGAAACCTTATACCTCTTTAAAATTTACGATGTATAAAACATAATACAATATTTATAATTTTCATAATCTTATACAAAGCTTTAGTGTTAATGTATTTATTATAACACTATCATCAACGATTTAATATTGGTAGAGATAGTGAACATAATTGTCAAAGAAGATTCCGAACGAATACTTCAAACCATAAACACACTGAATTTGATTATCTATGGTTACTCTTACTATTGAATATTGATTTCAGAATTCAGAGGTTTTATTCATCCAATAGGGCGGCGTTTAATGTTTAGCAGTAAATTGTGTAATTTGTTATAATTCGTAAGTTCTTTTTATTCGAAATCCTTTCTTTAGTTAATAATATTGATAAAAAAATGAGTGGTGACGATTCGGACGACGATAATGTAATCCTTTACGGAACTCCTTTAGAACCATTTGAAGAAGGTACGCTATTGTGATTTAATATTTAACTTATTAAATACTAAGTTTTTTGATAAATTAAATCTATTTATATTAAACATTCATTTTTTTCGATTAGTAGGTATTAGAAATGTATAAATAAATACTTGTTTTTTTCATTAATGTCTCCAATGCGCATTAATATATGTTAGAATTGTAAACCTATTAATTTCCTCTATGTTTATTACATTATAATTTATCACAGATGAAGTTCCTACAAAAAAGAAATATCAACAACAACAAGATCAATATGCAGTGGATGATCATGGAAGACGGAGGTTCCATGGTGCTTTTACTGGAGGTTTCTCAGCAGGTTTTGGTAACACTGTGGGGACACCTGAGGGATGGACGCCTAGTAGTTTTAAAAGCTCTCGTTCTGAAAAAGCACAAGTATCAGTAAGAATCCTTATAATTAATTGCATTTTAATTTTATTAAAAGCAGCAACAAAGTATATTAGTTGTAATAATCACATTGATTCTTCACTGACCATGTTCATTTATAAAATCACTGATGATATTCTCCTGGCCGATTCCGGCTACGGCGGCTAATCTCATTGAGCCTAGCTAACTGCGCAGGAAATATTATAGTGCACAAGTGTATGGGCAGCAGGATTCGACATGATAATTATCATGATAAATATGGGTTGATAATTATCTTTGATAAATATAATTGAAAATATTTAATTTGTAACTCTTCAAATTGTCGATCAGCTAACTGAACTCTCTCAATCAGCTCAAAAAACTCAATCACCAAAGTTAGTTAATGCAGTTGAGGAGGATGAGGATGATATTCCACTCGTTAAGGAGTCTGCCCACTACACCGTCTCATACCATGACCGAGCTATGAATGTATCAGGCACGGAAACATGCGACACGGACTACTAAGCCCACTAGAACGTATCATTTGCGTATCAACAGCGTATCATCCGCGTGTCATATCCGTATAGTTCCCGTTTTCTCAGTCGTAGTAGTTCACCTGTGTTTTCGGGTGAGGCAGCCCCATCAGGAAGAGTAAGTGAATATTGTTGCTACGAAAATTATTTCCTATACCTATACGATGGCTAGTTGCAGATTGCTAGTTGCAGATGGCAGTTATAACATCGTTTCGCCGTCCGCGCGCACCGGTTCGGCAACGTCACGCGGCACGCGATCGTGTTGGTTGGTGACGGAAAGGTCTTGATCGGTGATGGAACGGTTTAGTGGGCATAGTCTCTACTTTTCAATACAAAGGATATTTTTTTGCCTGATACCGTCCTAGCACCATCATGGTATGAGACGGTATAGTGGGCAGAGACCTTTAATTTCATTAAATATAAAATAGTGTCTATATAGTTGGTTAAATTTATTCTGTTTTTATTTCCAAGTCTGTATATGTCAAAATAATGAAAAAAAAATAATAATAAAAGATTACCTTGATTGTTAAAAGTGTATAATTTATTGTGGCGTAAATTATGATAGGCAAGTAGTCAAATACCAATACCTACACAAGAATTGCTAAGTTTATATCTGTTTGATAATTATCGGATAATTATCTTGATAATTATCGCGATAATTATCAAAAGATATATTTATCTTGATAATTTGATACCCTGACGCGCAGACACAAGTGCACTCTCTATTCCTGTCACGCTCATATTGAAGTGGGACGACTGCTCGACACGACCAGTGAGAGTTAAGGTGCAGGACCGACGGCTTTACGTGCTCTCCGAGGCACGGGGGTGGAACACCACCAACTTCCCAACTCCGGGCTGTTACTGAGACTTACTATACAAAAAGACTCAATAAGTAAACTTGACCCGACCCGGGACTCGAACCCGGGACCTCCAAGTGTGCCGTACCGTAGCCGTACATGCTAGCCACTACACCACCGAGGCAGTTCTAGCATAAAATCACTATTTGATCAATATTACAATGTATATTACTAGAAGCATGTATATTACAAGCAAGCAAGTATGGCATCTAGGCTAAGTATTTATTTTATATGTGTTATTATTGAATTTGTATTTTAGAATCAAAGACCAGAAGATTATATGGATGAGGAGGATCGGTCAGAATTTGGAATTGCTCCAAGACATTTACAAACTAAGAATGAATTTTCGGGGCAAAAGAGACCACATCAAAAAAGCTTTCATGATGGCCCAATCCCTGGTATGAAATTTTAATATTTATTTTTTCTTTTTTTTATAACATTTATATATAAAATATTAATTTTGAATATTGAGAAATTCAAAGTGTTGTACTATTTGTATATTCTAAGTCACAACTTGGATGGATGGAGTTTTTAGGGTATTTTATGTGAATGAAATTGAAAATTTGAACTTTTATTGCATCCATATATATAATTATACCAACTGTGTTTTATACACAATTGTCCTGACTTTTTTTGAGACAGATTATAAAGATTTTTTAGAATTTCTTAACAAAAATACAGATTTCTATGCGCTTTAATGTTCATGTCATATTAAGGATTTACTTAGGATATATAATCGATTTAATTCAATCCTTTATTATAAGGGTACATAAAACTTTCTTAGACTTACACAAATATTTGACATTACTATATACAAAATTTTGTCTCGCTAAAGTAAAGGCAAATAAAATATTTAAAGAATAAGTACAAGAGTGTAACTTGTCATATTACCATCAAACTTTACAAGTACTGTATTATACTAATGACTCACCCTCGCTTCCCTCGGGTTCATCGCTGGGTATGTTTTAAATAGATATAAAATGTAAATAGTTATTAGCCAGCGTCAGCCATGTAATTTTTTTTGTGAATTTTTCCGATGTTTTAATAGTTATTCTGCTATTCGGGGCAGAAACAAATTCAACAAATCAAAAACCATGAAAATCAGTCCAGCAGTTCTAGAGTTATAAGTGCCCTATTTTGTTTTATATATATATATATATATATATATATATATATATATATATATATATATATATATAGATTAATAACATTATTTAAATCTTAAACGTAATTCTAATAAAATGAAGATTTTAACTAATCATTTTTTTACAGGAGAACCAGTTTTAGGTCAGTTGATACGGGCGGTCCATGAGACAGCGGCAGTGAAGATTCTGCGTAAGATGGGCTGGAAGCCAGGTCAGGGTGTAGGGGATAGAGTGTCGCATGGAGAGAAGAAAAAAGCTAAGGAACAGCATAAAGTATATGGATGTTACATGCCCCCGGAGATGATGCAGGTTAGATTTATGTGTTTTGATATTTATTTTTTAATAAAAATAGTCGCATTAGCTTACTTACAATCAGGTCTTTTTAGTATAATTGGTTGAAAACTTAAACTATCTCAAAAAATTGTAGCTTCCATTATTGATTAGAGTAACCCAAGAAAAACAAAGAAAAACAAAAAAAAATTTAAATACATATTATAAGGCATTTACATTTTAATTCACACCATCAAACTAATAGCTGTCACAATAAGAAGAAAAATAAACATACTAAAATTACCTGCATCCCATTGGACTTTGAAAGTGAAAGGAATAGAGAGGGCACTTTTATTTGTGTGTGCAAACACACACACACACACTCACACTGTATATATCTATACATATAATAAAATCGTAACTAAGCCGAATCTGTACATTGAATATTTTTTGGAAATTCTTATTGAAATAGACATTATTATCGATACAGAGGCCGATTCTATAGTTTTTAGAATTTTTGTCTGTCAACATAGGATACTTTTTACAGCGGGAAAATATCTCATTTCTGAGAAAAAATACAAAAACTGCAATGTAAGAGTATACTAATATGGATAACCTAGGAATTTGGTTTTTCCCATCGGAACGCGGGCGGAGCCACGAGAAATGCTAGTCTTTTATATAATTGCCTAGGCACATTAAATTATATATCTCTTATATTCATTTTTCAACAATATTATTAAATATTTTTTATTCCAGCAAAAAACTGAACAATCAGACAGTTCAGATTCAGAGTTCGAGTACGACACACTCTTCGCGCCAGACGACTATGAACCTTATATACTAGTGCATAAAAACGATAAATTCGGAATTGGCTATAAAGGTCTAAGTCGACACTCTGTGTTAGGAAATTTGATAGGCGAATATGGTGAAGGAAGTTCTAGTAGTCATTTGAAGATGAAAGAAAAAGGCAAAAAGGTAAAACATATAGATATTAGATTTGACGACACGATTGGCTCAGTTTATGACCCTACTTGCTATGCCAGAAGTGGCGGGTTCGAGTTCCGCTGGAGGTATTCATTTGTATGATGAGCAGGAATGCTTGTACTCCAGTCATGGGTGTTTATTTATAATATGTATATATTTATTATTTAAAGCTATAAATGTGTAGTGTATCAACTATCAGGTATCCATAACACACACCTTAATTTTTATTTAAATTAGTCATCTTAAAGTTTCCAGCAGTAGAACATAGGGCTTTCATATGAATAATGAAAACCCTATGTTTTTGCTGCTAGAAACGCTTCTTGATTATATAATGAATAGATTCCATTTTTTTCTCTGTTTAGGAGTTGATTTACCAAAAACACTTTGTAAAAATTATTTATGTTTGTAAAATTTATACTTTTATTTTGCCATTTTTTCTTTCTGAAATTTCGTGATTATTCATCCTTTTTTAAAGTTATGCTTCTTTTGGCACGTTTAGAAAAAAAAATGATAGTAAAATTTTACAATGCGCGCGCACACCGACAGCCAAAAAGCGACATGACGAAGTTAGCTACATTCCTTTTACAAATAGAGAGTTGTAACATACGGGATGAAATCTTTAGCTATTTTTGTTCTGTTACGCCAAAGAAGTATCACTTCTTACCTGAGTACGTAAGTACACAGACACGTTTTTATTTTTTTAATATTAATGAGTGTGTTCAGCTAGCTATTTTTGAACGATAATAAAATGGAAAGTCTTGTATTTATCTACATAAAACTCAACAGTGTTGTTCAGTTGTGTATGCAAAATTGTAGTAAATCCTCGACTTCTAAGAATAGTTGCAACAATTTTTTTTTAACCTAAATTTGAGGGAAATTATTTCTTAAAAGTAACTATTTATATATATATATATATATATATATATATATATATATATATATATATATTTCTTAAACGTAACTATTTGTTTGTATTATTTTTTCTTTGCACTTTCTCTTTCTGTCCCGCTACTTCACATTAATTCCCACATATTATGTACATGGTTTGACTGGAAGAGATCTCTTTTGTCCACGTCATTTTCTATGTATTTTTTTTATTGTCCATACTCTATTCACGGAGTGAACCATGCAAAGCGCTTTCTCTGTCCCACATTAGCATACAAATTGATAAGGACAGAAAATTGTCTAGCTCCGCCCACTAACACTTGCAACTGGTTTGAAATCATAGGGCACGTTCATGTTGCTAATGCTTTAGTGAGGAAATATTAATAATTTGTAATAAAATAAAATCAACATATACATAAAATCAACATTAAAGTAAAATTAACTGTATTTTTATACATTATTAATTTTCGCTCTCGGACGTACCACTGTCATCTCCTATATCTATACTTATTATAAAAATAAGTCCCCCGGCCGCGTCTTTCTGTCCTCCTGTCTGTCCTCCTGTCTGTCTGAACGCGATAAACTCGAAAACTACTGAACGGATTTTTATACGGTTTTCAACAATAGAAAGAGTAATTCTTGAGGAAGGTTTAGGTATATAATTTATTATGCTTTTATGTAAATTAGCTGAAATACGGCGACAAATGTTGAAGAGGTCGCAAAAAATCTCGCCAAATGGGAACTTTCCACGCGAACGCCGCGTAAACTAGCAAAGATACAGTTAAGTAATGTACTAGAGAATTCAAAATCTATAAAAATGCTACAAAAAAGTCCGCGATAGCATATCTCTATCTCTTACGGTTGACTTACAATAACCACTTTTATGTTAACATTTTTAATTAAAAACATTACGTTATTTTCAAAGTTATTTTCTTTAGTTCGGTATTAATCCTTATCCAAATGAATATTTTAGTTAGCTTAGTCATTTAATGCAGATTAAAATTGCTCTTTACACTAAATCAATCAGATGAATAGTTTTTGAGATATCGTTGTTAGAAGTAATTAGTAGCGAAACATTTTTAATGCTTGGCGAGCATTGAGATGCCTACGGCGAGTCCATCCCCTCTGCCCCGCATCGCTCGACCGCCTGCTCAAGCTATATAAACCGGGCGATGTAGCGCGCGATCCTAGGATACTTTTTACCGCGGGAAAATATCTTATTTCTGAGGAAAAATACAAAAACTGCAATGTAAGAGTATACTAATATGTAACACCTAAGAATTTAGTTTTTGGTCATCTGAACGCGGGCGGAGCCGCGGGCAATGCTAGTTGATAATAAATCAGGTACACGAGAGACGTCTGAATGGTACGGAATGCAACGACGGACTATATGACTTGCATTGTAATCGCGGCCCAAGCGTCTTATCTACAACTAATCACGTGAAAGGGCAAAATCTCAGTGCTTGGTTCATTCGGCGAATACAGTATAGCACAATAAATAATCTATACTAATATTATAGAGAGGCAGAGTTTGTTGTTTGAACGCACTAATCTCAGGAACTAATAATCCGATTTGAAAAATTATGTTTGCATTATCATCCCGGAAAATAATACAATTTCCGTGGGATATATTTGTTCTTGTCTAGGGAGTCGCTAGTATAATATAATACATCTCTTATCGATTATTCAGGTATCGATTAGAGGTCAAGCATTTGGCGTAGGCGCTTTCGAGGCGGACGATGAAGATATCTATGCGACCGAGGACATGTCGCACTATGACTTCGCTATCGGGGGGAAAGAGAAGGAGATAGTTAAGAAGAGTGCAGAGAAAAGCGCTAATGTGAGTTGTAATAGTGTCGACCCTATTGCCTTTAACATAAGGCGTTTTATCATTTACTACATCAAACCATACACTCAACCGAGCACTCTACTCAAATACAATTTCGTCACTCATTGCGACAATCATATCTAACATCATCTAATATAACTCTCAAAAACAAGTAGAATTACTTGTTGCACACGACACCTGCACTACCCAAATAAAAAAATCATTGTAATTCTGCTAACAATGGCTCAGTTTGTAGTGACTACTTGCTGTGCCAATGGTCACAGGTTTGAGTCCCGCTGGGGTCATTCATTTGTGTGATGAGCACGAATGTTTGTACTCCAGTCATGTGTGTTTATATTTATAATATGTATGTATTTAAAGTTATATATATATGTAGTGTATCAACTATCTGGTGTCCATAACACAGGCCTCGTAGCTTCCTATGGAACTAGATGGTGCTGTGTATTAATGTCCCAACTTATTTATTTTTACCTAAGACATAAGATTTTCATTTGATAAGTATGGTAATTATAATGATATATATTTTGTATAATATTTTAAAATGTGTATATCTGTGCATGACGTGTTATCTGTAAGTAATCACTACAATTAGTTTCTAGTTCTTAGTTCTACTCTTTTATATATGTGTGTATTATTGTTATTGTAAATAAACCTAATAAATAAATAAATGATAATCTCCAGGTGTTAGAAGGGTTCATGAAAGCAAAGAAACCACAAACCCCAATATCCGCCTACCCGCCGCCGGCACTCCCCCGGGACTTCGCCCCCGCGCCCGCGGGACTCAAACGGTCGCGGTTTGAGCCCACTGAAGCAATACCGCGGGATCAGGGTGAGAAAGTTATGCTTATTTGAATAAAGTGTAATTTCATTCATCAGTCATTCATTAATTTCATTATACTTACGGTTTATAGAAATATGGGTGGTCATGTTATACCCGTGCCGAAGCAGAGCACCCTAAATCTGGTCTCTCATAGTGTTAAGGCGCTTTCTTTATTTAAAATGTTGTTTGATTTGAGGGTTTCTTGTTCTTTGATAATAAAATGGCGCTGGTAGTAAATTAAATCATGCTATCGTTTGGTTATTTTAAAATATATAGAAAGTAGATTATTTTCAATATTTGTAATCCAAAATTAAAGTGTGCAGTCTAAAAGTGTTTAGTTTTATCTGTGACAAAGTGCTAAAGTAACTATCAGGAATAGGTGGTGTGTTCTCACGGCGATTTGATTGTCGTCCCGTCGGAGTATGAGAGTATACGGTACAGAGAGTGCACGTTGTGTCTACGCATACACGTATTGTACTATAATACGTATGTCCCGCGTAGTTAGGTAGTATCTGTAATACTAGCCATGGACTTCCTTTATACATATTTATGATTATTTTCATTTCCTTAATTCTTACATAATATTACTTATTTTTTTAGGTCTCGGCCGCCATGAACTAACTGCAGAAGCGCGAGGAGCACTATTAGGCGAGACTTCACGCCCAAAGACACAAAAAACACAAGAAACAGACGAAACACAACAAATGGAAACACAAACACAAAATCCAGACCTATCTAAAATCCTTGGCAAAACTATTAACTTGTCGAATACACAAGGAGAAAGTTCGCAAAATAACAAGGAATTAGATTTCATATCTATAAAAGATTCAGGGAAAGATGTAAGGGTTTTCAAGCCTTTTATGAGTGACCCTGAAAAACAGGCGAGATATGAGCGGTTTTTAGAAAATAAGGTGTTAGAAAAAGATGGCAATAAGGATAGATTGAGCGAGTGGGAAAGGAACAGAGAGAGGCTGGAGTTTGAACAAGCAGCTAAATTGTATAAACCATTATCAGGAATTATTGGGGAAAGGTGAATGTTTAATAGATTTAATGAGCTCAATTACTAGGGTGGACCAAACAAATTTTTTTCTCCTAGCTTGGGGGTAGAATTTGTAGCTTATTTTTTTTCGCTTCATCCTATTAATTACTTTAACTAAATCAGGTAATTACTTAAAAGGTATATTTACAACAAAATAACTTTAATGGCTACTCATTATGGGTGGTTTTTTTCCTTGCTCAATGTACGAAAAAATTCTAACATATCTATTCATACTAATATTATAAATGCGAAAGTAAGTCTGTCTGTCTGTCCGTTACACTTTCACGCTTAATCTGCTGAACTGATTTAGATAATATATAGCTAGGATAGCTTTTATCCGGTAAATCATCCTTTAAGGCGGTGAAATATTTAGACTTAGAAAATTGGCTATTTATCGAAACTTCATTAGAATTTTTTTTTATAACATCTAATGCTTCCAGAATTGTTTAATAAACATATACTTTTATCATAGGTTCACTCACGCTTCCGAACCAGATGAGGCATTGAATCCCCTCAGTAGCGTCGCCAAAAGCTCCATCAATCGCGGTTTAGCCACACCAGAACAAATCGAGGCGGCTAAAATAGGGGCGTATGGTGTTATGACTAGGAGTGTAACAACATGGCGACCGAAACCGCTAGCTTTTAAAAGATTCAACCTACGGGATCTTGATGGTAACAGGTAATAATTTATACTTTTTAATATTAGAAGCAACTCATACTGACTAAACTCTGGCTCGGTTCGAGTACGTTCGTAGGCATTTAAAAGTATTTTTCTAGTGCTTTAGGTAATGCTGCTTGCTAATGTTCTAGGTTACAGTGTACTGCTAAATTTAATCCAAATCCGTCCAGCCCTTAAATGGTGAGAAGTTACAAACATATGTTACTCACAGATACAACTTTCATATATTAGTATAACTAATTTGTCATTTGAACCGACTTCATTTTTATATCTCTCGAGAATGGCTGCATGAGATTTAATGAGGCATTTAAAATTAAAATCGAATTGATGTTTTTTTCCAGAATTGTTCCAAAAAAAGAAGATAAACCTAAAGCATCAGTATTCTCCTATGCAGAATCGTCTGTGCACAATAAAGAAAGTTTTACTAAAGAACAAAGCAAATTCAGGGGTTCAAAATCATTAGTTGTAGAACCAATTAAAAACAACAGTAATAAAGAAAAAGAAAATACAAATGTAACTAAAATCAGTGCAGTATCAAATACAACAAATACTCCTAGTGAAGTCAATAACACTTGTAACAAAAGGATGACAGTTGCTGAATTATTTCTAAAAGAATCTGAGAAAGATTTAAAAGAAAAAGATAAAGGCACTGAAGTAGTTCAAACCATAGAGAAATTTGACAAAATGGATCTATACAAATCGATATTTCTAAGCGATAGTGAAGACGAAATAGAAGAAGTTAATAAAGAAGAAACTACAAATTCTAAAGATTATATGGATAAGCCAAAAAATGTTGAAAGAAATCTTTCTCCACCGAGAGGTATATTCGCAAATATAGACTTTGACGAACTCAACTCTTGGAAAAGACGTTCTGATGACAAAAATAATGAAACACAAACAAAATGTAGTGAAAATGACAACAAAGAAAGAGATGGCAAAGACAAAACAATTGAAGAAAATAAAAATGGATCTATGGAAGTCGATGCAGTCTACGGCCCCAAAATACCAGATAATATACAAAAAAGATTACAATCAGAACTGCCTACTGATTCTCGGCGGACATTTCGAAAGAAAGTTGAGCGTGAAATTGAAGGAAGTTCTTCAAGTTCCGATTCATGGGTCGAAGCGAAGGAATTAAAATCAAAGAAGCAGAAAAAGAAAAGTAAAAAGCAGAAGTCAAAAAATTTGAAATCGAAGCGTAAGAATAAGAAATAAAGATAAAATGTGTCATAATAAAGATTTCTGTATGTTTAAATATAATCTTTAGTGATGGGCCGAATGTAGCCACACCGACCAACCGAATACGAACTTCGGCCGAACATCCGGTGAGATTAAAAAATTCGGCCGAACTTCGGTTCAATTTCGCTGCTCAAGTCACTACATGTCGTGTTACTACTCGTCGTGACACTTTTATAATTAAAAATCCTTAATGTATCTGAGTGTTTAGTTTGATAACCGAAAATGTGATTATTTTTAATTCAATTTACGAATTGTAATTAAGGTGTTTGTTACAAGAATACTAAGTTTATTTCATTTTGTCTATTTCATTAGGCAAAGATTTTTGAGACCGTCAAATGAAAGAAGAACTAATGATTTTTTTTTTATTGCATACGTGTTAATGTTAACATATTCCTATCTAAAATAAATGACCATCTAAACCTATCGGAAACCGTTTATTTTTAATAGATTTTTTTAAATTAAAACCTGAAGTTTAAACGTCTTTAAAACGTTACTTAGGATATATATACGACAAATATTCTCTTAAAAAGTTGTAGGTCCAGTACGAATCTACTACTTTTATAGATGATACTTTTTACCAATAACCTTAAACTTTTCGAGATATTTGCAAGAAATTTCAAATTCAATCAAAAAAATTTTCTTGGTTTTTTATTTAAATTTCTGCATTAATTTTTCTATTTTCATGAAACTATGGAATATAATCTTAGAAATACATAATTTACGCTTTTCAACACCCCACTCCCCCTTGTTCTCGGGGGTAGATAGACATCGAGGGCATTTTATAAATTTTTGTCCCTTATATACCTGCTAACGTTTAGAAGATATAAAACTTGAGGTTTTAATTTTATTGTTTCCAAACCGAAATTCGATCGGACTGATGAGTATGTACCTATATAAAATACTTTATTTGATTGTTATGACAAACATGTTTTCTTTTAATTTCAGTCAAAATAGTGCAAGTAGGTATTCTTTTCTATTGCCGAATGTTCAGCATTTAAACCGAATTTCGGCTCAAGCTGCCAAAATTCGGTTAAACCGAATGTAAAACTAATTTCGGCCCATCCATAATAATCTTCTTTCCTTTTGATAAAAAGTAGTCTATATGATAAATCCAATTTTGTAATGTAGTTTCAATTTTTATGGCAATTTATATAAAATTTTTATTTCGGATTTTTTCTTTTTGGTTTCCGACGTTTCGAATGCTTTAGGCCCTTCTCCCGTTACGATACAGCCAGGCGATTCTAGTATCTTGCGAGTCCAGGAGACTGATCCCCGCGGAGTATCGCACATCTATATCGGTGCTCGCACACTACACTACCGGTGTCGTACGTGTCCGCGACCGTCGCGCTGGCCATCCGCGCGTCGCGTCTCCTACGCATCTCGAAAAATTCGTCCGTTCATTAAAAAAGCACAAAACAAATGATGCATTTTGTTATTTTTCAGTAGCGTAATGTCCAAAGTCGAGTTGCCAACAAGTTTTCACCTAGTATGCGACTTTAGTATTGTATACTACGTGTTTCGTAATGGGAGAAGGGCCTTACAGGAATCATGGTCACGGAAGAGACGGAGTCTCTCACAAAAAATCAAAATTAATCTGCGAAAATATCAAAAAATTTTATAATTTAAAATACCAAATATTCGTCATAATGCAAAATCCGAAGATAATTTTATATAAAATATCAAATACTCGTATACTCGTAAATGTAACGTATTAGTTTTTTTAGCAAGTTTTATTAAAAGTAGTGTGAAGTATTTTTATTTCAATATTAATTGCCGTCTCCCATATTTACAAAATACCTCAATTTATTTATTTTTAACCGACTTCCAAAAAGGAGGAGGTTATCAATTCGTCGGAATCTTTTTTTTTTCTTTTTTTTATGTATGTTCACCGATTACTCGAAGACGCCTGAATCGATTTGGAAAACATTTTTTGTTTCAAAGGGTATACTTCCCAGGTATTTTATCGAAATCGGTTGAGCGGTTTTTAAAAAAATCAACAATAAATATATTTTTTAAATAAATTGTTTAATCGAATATGTTATTAAAAAACTTTCTTCTTACAAATTACCTGCTTATTACGTCTACACTAAAAATGGAAAAATAAAAACTTAAAAAAAAACGACTTTCAGGCATTAAAATGAAAAAAATAACTAAACGGGGTTTTCATTTAGAAGCTAATTAGATATTTTTGAAGTCAGTGCCAGCCGACAATATTTTAAGATTTGAATATCTAATAGGTAGATATGTATTTTACGTATCGAAATATATTGCTTTGCATCGACTGGCACCGACTTCGAAAATATCTGATTAGGTATCTATTCTAAATGAAAACCCCCGTTTAGTTATTTTTTTCATTTTAGTGCCTAAAAGTCTGTTTTTCTTTTTTTTTTTAGTTTTTATTTTATTCTAGGCATCAAAAATATTTTCTTTAGACATGATAAAAATTCGAAACATAAAAATTACCATCTCGATAACACAAGTTGCTGAAGTATAAAAGGTAGTAAAAAAATACAAATTTTACTAAGTAGTAGTGTATTTCTATAGAAAGTCATAGTTATTAACATCATCGAACTGCTGTGTCTGCGCACCGCGCGCCGCGCCCGCGCGGTACTGCGGTTGCTGCACAAAAACGTTATATATCAATGATTCATTATAATACATCAACGATTTATCTAAGTATATCAATAATTCATCACAAGATATAAATGATTCATCATAATATATAAATCATTTATTATAATATATCAATAATTCATCATAATATATCAATGGTTCATCATTCATCATAATATATTAATTATTGATTGATTGATCACACAGTCTTATAATGGTAGTGATCAGATATCTCCGGTGGCCATTTTCGGAAATAGCGGAAATTCAAAGTTCTAATTAATTTATAATCTGCTATACCAAAGTATAAAATATATATTTTTTTCTATTAAATAGTGATTTTACCAGACGAAGTTACTTCTACGACTGGACAGTAGAGAATCTGCTCATCGCCAATAAAATTTAAATAAAGTGATTGATTTATTCATTTATTATTATCTGTACACGCACAAATGGCTAATGATTGATGGAGGATGATGATTTACTATCAAAATATTGTCTATAAGAAGACTAATTTTAAAAACCTAACGTATCTATCGAATACTTATAAGAAATCCACTAGCTTATGTGGACTTTTTTTTTTCACCCCCCTTCAGCAATATATTATATGTATGAAGTGCTACCCCTACTTTTTTTGTAATTTAACTACAGAATTAACAGTAAATAGCTTCAATACTTTACTAAAATCGGCTATATAACGAAGAACCCTAGTTGAATAAAAAATACTCATAAATGTTTTATATTTTACATTTTGCTTACATAGTTATAAACTAAACTCATTATCATGGAGTCTTAGGATTACGCCATTTTTGCGCATAAAACCATGTTTAGGTACATATTATAGAGTGTTCTATTATAAAGATATATTTTAATATGTACGAAATAAGTTAGGGGTGTGGTGGATGATGGTTACTACATGCATTTACTTTCTGTATATAGAGATAGACATGAACTCTAAATATAATTTATTGATACACATTGATATACAAAAACTCAAAATTAGCGTCTCAAAAGTGTCCTCAAAAAAAGAGCGCAATTCAAAATTGTGCGCCTTTATCAAATCTCTTGTATCGCCTTTCGGGTGACAAAATTAAAGCACACGTTGTTTAGTTTAAAAAACTACTTTATGTGGTGTGCGTAAGTTCGAATTTGTGTTAAGACTATTAGAACTTTCGATTTTTGAATTTTATTCTTTGGTTTGACTTAACGTCACATACGACGCCACGTTTGGAAGAGATATTTGTTAGGAAATGTGTATCTGTTTTTATATATCAATGGTGTTGCCGTATTATTACAACAAAGTATTTAATTAATCAAGCTGAAAGGAGTTAAGCGGATAATCGCTTGATAAGTATTATAATTTAGAGGTTATAATTATAAATTTGCCGTTCTGCAACTTAGAGTTTTCAAATATCCAAATCTTAAGAAAGATTTTCGCCCATATATACTATTTTTTAATTAACCTCAGACCGGCACAATTATAATACAGCTATGATTAATAAAATTTGAAAAGCAAAATCTACGCTATTCTTTACAAATAATAATTATATATACATACAATACACATATCGTCACCTTAGTGGTTATTTGTTCAAACCACAAATAGTTACTTCTTGTACTTTACAGTAAATATAGTTTCCTCTATTTAAAAAACAAAGCTTCATTTCTAAGATTTATATATATACGTATTAGAGTAAAGCGAAAAAAAAAAATATTTTTTGTCCTTAGCTTTGGGGTAGAATTTGTGGCTTAAAAAAATTGGTTTGAATGAAAAAAATATTTTTTTTCGAGTTATCATCTTTTAAAACATTCAAGAATTGACAAATATAGTCATTTTCTACTCAACTTTCACTATAATACAAAAAAACACGTTACATTTTCAATTTTTTAACATTGCAATAATTAATAGTAAAAAAAAGATTTTTTTTTCGTTTTTAATTTTTAAATGACTTCAAGAAGACACTACAGTTTTTAAAACAATTTCACTATCCTTTTAAGTCTAAAAAAAGTTAAGTAATTATTCATTTTTAAAATTAGTGACCGACCTCAAAATGTCGAGTAAAAAAGTTTTTTCTTTTTCGAAACTTTAATTTTTTTAAAAGCTATAGATTCTATCCCCAAGCTAAGAAAAAAAATTTTTTTCACTCCACACTAATACGTATTATAGATGAAATACATATTTTCTTCTTTAAAGTAAAATGTTTCTTATAAAACAATAAAATTGACATTAAAATGTCAATAAATCTGTATTAAAAACTTTCAGTACTGGTCGTTTGAACAAATAAGCGTTGAGACGATATGTTAAGACGAATATTTGTTTCTATCAATGATACAAAGTTAGATGTTGCTCCTCACAGCATTTTTTATCACAATCGCGGCTACCTCGGGTGTAATATTTCTAATATCTATAAATAAGTAAATATCTTGCTACACTACAAAGATTACTCTTAGTACGAAACACAGTCGTAATAATAGAGTAAATCATAAAGTCGTCTAACGAAGGCGTCTAGATAGGGAAATCGTGCGCGTTGAGGCGCTCCCGACTCTCATACGTACTTTTATCATACGGCTTTAGGGTTGACAAATGTAACTTGCCACAAGATTGCAGAAAGTACTTTAACTTCGAAATTCGATTTGAAAATTAATACTTTTACATCCATTGCTTTTAGCGAGATTTCCTTTAAGTACAAAGACCTGCTTTCTATATGGATTTTTAAACTGTGTTAGGGTAACGACTTAATTCAGGCAATAAGACCTACAATAGGTCAAGAAGAGTTTGAATTTGATTATTTTTGATTGTCTTTATTGCCTGAACTATGTTCACACGGCAATATTCATGGCTGAGGGGGTTTTAGCAAATATTGTAGGACAAGGTCACTCCCGAGGGGCCGCGAGTGTGGGAGGGAGTTAGTGTGGAAGCTTTACTTAGCCTGCGCGTCACAAGTGCGGGCGGCCGCCGCGCGCCGCCTGCTGTTGCTAGAACACACGCGCGCACTGAGCATTGAGCACCCGCTGAGCGTAGGGCATCGAGCACTGCTGAGCATTGAGCAACGCTAGCGCTACTCAGTGCTATGGTTAGGGTGCGGTCTGAGTCGTAGAGTGGGGACTGACCACTTTATAATTTTTTACCAATTGTAATGAAACATTTTATTTTCCTAATCATAACAATAATTATATATGAAACAAAGTTTTTTTTTGTTTTATTTGCCATTTATTCATCCATATAGAATAAAACTTTTTGGATAATGTCAACACCAGTAAGAAACAATATTGCAGCGATGAATACATATTATACCTGCTATCAGTCCCCGCGCTACGACACGATATGCCATGTTATATACAAAAGTTAGTTAAAATTCAGAGCAGACACTAGTGGCAGGTCTAAAGCATTAGGAGTCATTATATGAAGATTATTGTTTAGCATATTTTATATTACATTTTAAACTGGATAAGAGCATGTGAAACAAGAAAGTGCTAGTGCAAGCATGCGGGGGCTCCCAAAATAGCTTTTAGGATATTTATAATCAATATAAAATGTTTTATTATTTTAAAAAAAATGTAACTTACTTTTGTATTCAGAAAACTATAGAGCTGACAAAGCAATCGTGATGAATGGTATATAATAACATAATATGTACAAATGTGTTTATGCTATAAGTACTCTCCACACTATTGTATAATTATAATATAATGCATGACTCGTGCAAATAAAGAATGGGATTATAAATGGCATCATAATAATAAGTTTACGCCCGAAAATTTACGCTGTCTTATCTCACATCCGTTGGTACAGACCACAAAAGTATAATAATATTTGAAATAAAAATATTGATAACTTTTTTCAAATGTACTATTAGTGTTTACTTAATAAATTGCTATTGCATTAAAAAGAGGGTCAAGTGCGAGTCTGACTCGCACAACAAGGGTTCCGTAGCATAAAACATTAAAATATGTTTACAAAAAAAACTTACTTTTTTTCTGATGTAACTAGTAACTACCAATGTATGGTTTTCAGTTTTTTTCTTTACTTGCGCTATAAAGCATTTTTTTTGCCAAATTTCATGATTCTAGTTAAACGGAAAGTACCCTATTAATTAATTTCAACTTGAGTTGTCCACGCGTTCCTGAGAAAAAGGGATTTGACAGGCAGATGGACAACCAAGTGATCCTATAAGGGTTCCTTTTTTCCTTTTGGGGTACGGAGCCCTAAACCTATATTAAAAATAATATTTAACATTTTATCTAAAATATACAACGTCACCAAAATCACTTAAAAGTAAGTCTTCCACTATTTGAGGTATCACTATATGTATATGAGACCATTTTACCTTGAGATAATATATATGTATATGTTTAAAAAAAATTGAAAATTAATTTACAATTAGCGATCATATCTCGCAACATACCCACAAAAAATACGAATTGAGTACAACCTACTTTCTGAACACTATTATCCAAACAGTACATTATCTGCTGGCCGCCATTATTAATCCCATTCTTAATGCATCTATGGAATATATACATGTGTAAGTGTGCGTGCGCCTGTGTTTTTGAGTGGTATGTGTAACTATCAAATGTATGTTTGTTTGTGTGTCTGTTTGTGTATACGCGATACCTGCTGCAGCAGATGCCTGAGGCCGGGGTTGGCGGGCAGGTGTGGGCGCAGCAGGCGCGGCGCGGCGCCCCGCAGCTGCTGCTGCAACTGCTGCTGCTGCATCTGCAGCTGGTGCTTGCGCTGCTCCTCCAACTGCTTGTAGTGCTGCTCCTGCTGCTGCGCCGCGTGCAGGTGCGACATGATGTCCATCTGCGACTTGAACTGCGCCTCCTGCTGGTGCGCCGCCTCCAGCGTCTGCTGCAGGTGCTGGATCTTCTCCAGGTTCTGCTGCCTCGCCGCCTCCAGCCCGTCGAGGGGCACGCCGCGCGCCTTGCCGCCCTGCACCTGCCCCACCTGCCCGCCCATGCCGCCGCCCATCATCATGCCCTGCGCGTGCTGCTGCGGCTGCTGGCCCGACATGGAGGGCGCCCCCATCGCCATGCCCGGCTGCATGCCGCCGCCTGCCGACACACGGTCGCGTCAGTGGCACGCGGGAGTGCGCGGGAGCGGGGGGAGCGGGAAGTGGGGAGCGGGAGGGAGCGGGGGAGTGGGGAGCGGACACGTACCGGCGAGCGAGGAGGGCGGCGCTCCGCCTCCCGGCGCCGGCAGCTGCTTGCTCATCTTCTGCTGCTGGATGACCTTGCGCAGGCGGTCCACGAAGGTGGCCTGGTTGTTGGGGATGAAGCCCAGGTAGGCCTTCTTGTCGGGCGTGTACAGCAAGATGAGCACCTTGATGTCGCACTGCGGCGGCGACGGCATCGGCGAGAAGTGCACGCAGCCGGCCTGCGACACACGCGCGACACCGTGAGACACTGCGCCAGTGCGAGACACTGCGCGACACTGCGACAGTGCGAGACACTGCGCGCGACAGAGCGAGACACTGCGCGACACTGCGCCGGGATACTCACGAAGCCGCCCACCATGACCTTGGTGAGCGCGTCCAGCGCCTCGTTCTGCTGCAGGTGGAACAGCACCGACTTGCTGTCCTTCAGGTACTGCCCGCCGATGTTGCTGATCAGCTGTTTGTGCATTAGCTGCATGAGCAGCTTGTTAGGCCAAGTGTCAGCTTTGAGCTCTGGCTCTACCTCTTTGGAATTTGCTGAAACCTTTAACACAAAATAAGATTCTATTAATTAGAATCATATTATATAATATAAATGTGAAATTTTGTAAAAATATTTTGCGTAAAATATTTAAGTGATTTAGATTTAAAATTAAAATTGGTATAAAGATATAGCATGTTCTGGGTGTCCCTAGCACTAACGTTATATTTGATAAGGCTTTACTTCTGAATTATGTATAGACGGTGCTGCTTAAAAAAATAAAATTTATAAAATTTACAGAAATCCGCCATTATAATTTAATTTATAATATTTCATAAACGAATCATATTTAAGAATATGAAAGAAGTAAAATGTATTCTAGATTACCTGACACGGCAATTGCCTGATGATCTTCTGATCCCCCGGGGCTTTCCCCTTTTCCATCCACTCCAGCACTCCACTCCATATATACGTGCGTTGTAATGGAGCTGAAACTGATCCAACTCCTCCCACTGCCGGAACTTGTGACGACATACTGACCCCAACTCCCCCTACCGCGCTGACCCCTTGAGGTGTCACGTTGACTCCCACTCCTCCAACTGTACCGACCCCTTGGTTCGATTGCATGTTCATTCCGATATTGCCAACGGAAACCCCTTGAGAGGAAGATACGTTCACACCAGCGTTGGATGGACCCGGTTGCACCATCCGCTGGATACTTGACTGTAATAAATGAATAAAAATATATTTTTAGATAGTGTGGTCCGTATGTTGAAACTAGCTTCTGGTATATAAGTTAAATAGTAACAGTAAAAAGAACACGAAATAAAAGGTCACTAGAAAGAAACTTTAACACACGTATAATCACTACACAAAAATATAGTGAGAAGGAGTAAAAAATAGCGTACAGACAGTCACAGGTGAACCTCACAAAGAAATACTAAAAGTCTAATCAACAAACAATACACGAAACTGTGAGAAAATTATTTAAAACGAACGCAATATCTAAAGCAGAGTGTAGTTAGCGAGTAACTGCAAGTCGCGGCGACTCGGGTCTACGACATAGGCGGTGAGCGGGACGTAGGCATCACGCATCGACAGGATACCAGCTAAACTAAGCGTTTACGACGGGTTTTAATTATTGTATTGTGATATGTATGTGTATTCCCACATATTGTATTATTTCTTGCAACATTTTATTAATTTTTAGAAAAAAATAATGCCAAAAAGTTGCATACTCCTTTATGGGACATAATGCGTATACAACTTTTTGGCATTATTTTTTTTTTTTAATTTCTCCAGTTATTTAATTTATACCATAACTAGAACACTATGTAAGACGTCTATTCAAGTAGAAACCAACTCGTTAAACCATAACGAACCACAGATATTGTGTTTGCTATTTCTTTTTATCAGGCGTTATTTTTTAATAAATTTTACTTTATTTTACTCAATCAGCTTACGTCTGCCACTGGGTACACTAGCGACATTTATATAATAATGTATGGAAATCTGGCCGATTTTTTGACATTTAAGATTACTGCTCCGCTCTTTGAGTTGATAGCATGTTGATATATAGCCTATATGTAGCCTTCCTCAATAAACGGGCTATCTAATGCAAAAAGATTTTTTCAAATCGGATTAGTAGTTCCTGAGATTAGCGCATTTAAACAAACACACAAACAAAGAAATAAAAAACTCTGCCTCTTTATAATATTAGTATAGAAAGAGGATCTAGGATAGGAACACATCCAAGCAAAGTTGGGATAAGTTGGTATTTAAAAATACGATAGATGTTGTAGTTGTACACTTCTCCTATTCCGGCACTTCACTTTTTGCGGTATTTTTTTATATTTACCACTACTCACTATGTCACAAGAAAAATACTGACTTCATACTGAATACTTTGAATTGACAAATTTTAAAATAATAAATAATATATAATGAATGTTGGGACATTAACACACAGCGCCATCTAGTTCCATGGTAAGCTACGAGGCTTGTGTTATGGTTACCAGATAGTTGATACACTACACATATATAACTTTTAAATACATACATATTATAAATATGGATATTAACACCCATGACTGGAGTACAAACATTCGTGCTCATGACACAAATGAATGGCCCCAGCGGGACTCGAACCCGCGACCGCTGGCACAGCAAGTAATAGTAACTGAGCCAAACGTGTCGTCAAATCTTCCATATATTATAATATTTAAAGCGCGATTTAATTTACTACCAGCGCCATCTATAACCAAAGAGCAAGAACCCTCAAATTAAACGTTATATTTAAACTAAAGAAAGCACTTTAACAGATGTACCTGTGTAGGAGGTGGAGGATAAGACGGCTGAGCTAGTTGGGTCAATAGGGCAGAATTAGCGTACGGGGCCTGACGCGGGGGAGCCAGGAAGTTGCTCTTCACCGGCCCGACCGTGCCTCGCTGGAACTGCACCTGCGGGACTTTCTGCTGTGGCACCGCGGTACGAGCTTGGCTGGAACCAAATTGATTTTTAGATACTTGTATAATTTTATAAATAAATAATTACTTCTAAAAATCTACCATATGAATAGCTATAAAGCATGGATTCTTAACGTTGAAGATATTTAATTTAAAAAAAATGGGTGGGGTTGAAGCAAAACTTCTTTGATGAGTCCGTCAGCGTAAAAGTAGACTAACCCATCGACAGCTACTTTCTAGAAAATAGCTGTTAAATATTTTCATATATTTTATAACTCATTTGTAGTTTTTCATTTAACACTAACTTGAGTGTCAAATGGATATTTTTTTTTTTGAGTTTTTTTATGTTCCTTTGAACTTTTGTTATAGACATCTAATAACTATTTTTCAAAAATAAATGTGGGTTAGGCCATTTTTATCTTTTAATATTTTCAAAATTTTTGAAATACATTTGAGGGTTAGCTAATCGTATGTAACTTTTCTCCCACTGTTATTATTCTAAGGGAAGGGTATCGTTAAGGCGTCATTTCCGCCCCGGAATAACGAAAACAATGATGTCATTCGATTTGATCATTTCTTTACATATTCTGAAAGTAGACTGTGTGCCTGATAAGATAATATATTTATGACAGAAAAGAAACTACAAATACTACTTGAACACGCCAAACTTTTTTTCAAAATGAGACATTTTTAGTAACATTTCAACTTTTTTCAACCGACTTCAAAAAGGAGGAGGTTCTTAATTTGACTGTATGTTTTTTTTTAATGTTTGTTACCTCAGAACTCCGTCAATTATTAACCAATTTGGACAATTTTTGTTTTGTTTGAAAGGGTATACTTCCAGATTGGTCCCATTTAAATTTAAAAAAAAAAATACCACCCCTAAGGGTGGAAAAACAACTAATTATGAATTTAACCTACTTCTAATTGTCATATTGACTTGAAACTTTGCAAGTATTTCTATTTCCGTTGATAGTACAGTGGTTCGGTGTTGTTGACCTGGTCTGATGGCAAGGCCAGAAGGTGGATAGGTGGAACTCTTCAACGGCTAATAGTAGATACTTTGAGTTTGGGCTTATTTTGTTTGATTTGACAAGCCTAACACGTTAGAATCCTTACTTTGCTACTACTGTCTACACTAAAAAGGGAAAAATAAAAACTTTTTAACAAAAAAATAAAAACCGACTTCAAACAAAAGCACTAAAAAGTAAAAATAACTGATTGGTAGTTTTCATTTACTATACATACCTAATCAAATATTTTCGAAGTCGGTGTGCTTTGGCTAAGTAATTAAAGCCTACCTATTAAATACATACCTAATCAACTATTTTCGAAATCGGTGCCAGCCCATACAAAGCAAAGCACACCGACTTCGAAAATATTTGATTAGGTATGTATAGTAAATGAAAACTACCAATCAGTTATTTTTTACTTTTTAGTGCTTTTGTTTGAAGTCGGTTTTTATTTTTTTGTTAAAAAGTTTTTATTAAGTAGAGCGCATGTAAGAAGCACTTTCTTTTTATTTTATTTTAATGTTCAAAAGTTACTACATAATATATTTAAAAATTAGTGCTCCCATCCTGCGCAGTATATAACTATGACTTTGTAGTATTTAAGTCGAAAAACCAAAAAGTGTGGGTTAGACTGTTTTTGCACTGGCTGCCTGATATAGCCTTATGGCTAAAAAGCCAAAGCTTTAAGCCTTCCTCCATAAACGGGCTATATAATGCAAAAAGATTTTTTCAAATCGGATAAGTAGTTCCTGAGATCAGCGCGTTCAAACAAACAAACTCTACCTCTTTATAATATTAGTATAGATTAGAAACCCATTAATAGGGCTCTTAAAACAAATATGTAAATACAACTCACCCAAACACTTCTGCCTGTGCTAGAGGCGGCATCGGCGCGGGCGGCGGCGCCGGACTCGGGGGCCGCTCTTTGAGACTGTACCCTCGCAATAAAACTAAGTGTCGTGGATCCTAGAATTAAAAACTCGAAATTTGATTTAACGTACTTCTAATTACACTACACTAAAAATATACATGTAGAATTCAGAACCTCCTCCGTTTTTTTCGTCGGTTAAAAAATGAAAAATGCAACTACCATGGCTATGGGTGGATCGCTATCTTTGAAGGTTCTTAGGTTTGAATTAGAAAGTAAAATAAAATGTATAACGTATAGATTTTGAGTTACATCAAAAAGAAGTTTTTTTTTAATAAAATGATGAATAAAAAATAATTGGAATAATTTGGCTAATATAACGATATAGATTTAAAACCAAAAAAAGTTTTTTTTAATATAAGATGTTTATTTTCGAGGTAATAAACTAAATAAACCTAGAGCCTATATACCATTTTATCCCCCTTTTTTTACTTTTATTTGTAGTATTTAATCATACCGATTTGAAACCTTGTACATAAAGTTCGGATGACAATACAAGTAATTTTTCCGACAAAGCCGATCTAATGATGGAGGCAGGATATTGATCACTAAAAAACTAGATACACAATCAACGACAAAAAATGTCCTCACCGAATGAGCGCCCACTAGAACATTTAGGTGCGCTTTTAATTTAGTACACACACAGTTACACATTTAGACGCTAAAAATTATGGAGTTTCATATCTTCGGTAAGTATTAATATTATCATATATATTATATATATATACAACACTATAGTGTACAATGTTATTTTGTCAAGAAATCATCGTTAAAACAGTTTTTACATTGTAGAGACCCTTACAATGTAATTCTGACTTTAAGACATGCATGTAAGGTTGAATTTGTTTTGATGTGTCAGTACTAGCAAGTTGCATAAAAATAGCTTTGTGAAAGCAACTTTAAGTATTGCATTTAAGGTTGAATTTACATTATTGTATATTTATTTCAACCAGAATTACCTAAACACAATTGATGACAGTTTTAAGAGAACTTTTGCATGGGATTGTGTATATTTTAATGATTGATGAGGCAGAAGCTAGATAAACTCTTCAATTGCTGTTAGAAAAAGTGTGGGGAGACGCGGGAGAGGCGCTCCTGTCATACATATACTTTTTATATGACCTTTTTTAGACTTTAAGATTAACAAGTATAACTGTGACTTACAGCGAAATGGAAATATTGCTTTAACTCCCAAACCGTTTGTAATTTTGAATTTTGAAAATTGGTATTTTTTGTCAACTTACAAATATACTACTGTATAGCTGTATAGATTTTTATACTGTTATATTGTATGGATTTTACTACTAGAGCGACTGAGTGGGAAGCATCAAGCAGGTACTAAGCTAGCATGACCTTGGAGTAGTTCCTAACAATGATATGATGGGATTTGTGGAGGAAGCGGCGTGGGGAGTGGAGGGTAGATGAGCCGGTACCAGACTAGCACGTCCTTGATGTAGTTCCTAACAATAATATGATGGGGAGTGTGGTGGGAGTATTGGGAGGGGTCAGGGGAGACAGGGATGCCAGGCGAGCACAACTCGACGTAGTTCTAATAACGATACGACGGTGTTTGTGCGGAGGGTAGATTTGGAGATGAGGGCGGTCGACCTTGGCGTAGTTGCGCAGCTGCGCCGCGTGCAGCTCGCCGCCTGCGTGCTCATACAGCGCGAGCAGCGCCGGCACGCGCCGCGCCGCCGCCACCGACAGCTGCGCGCCGCGCTCGCCCACTAGCCGCGCCGCCTGCTCTACGCATCCGGGGGCACCTGGAATTTTTTTTTGTAATAAAAAAAATGAAATAAACTAGTGCCTTATCCTTATTATTAGTATTAGTTCTCCTAACTGGGACCATTTTGTTTTACCTAAATTGACAATAGATAGCGCTTACCCGAAAGCTAACATAATATTATATTTTATAAAAATGTGTATTGCATAGGTATTGCATAAAGTATACTGTAATTTTTATACTTGTCACTACAATATCGGAATTTTTATTCAGAAATAAACATCTACCACCTCTGTGACTGAAGAATTAAAATATTAATTTCTTGCCTCTTGTCTTATATAAAAAAATATATTTTTAATTAACATTAACAAAGCTAACCTGGAGGGACTAATCCCCCTGTGTATGTTGAATATGGTGGAGAACAACATAATAATATCATATGAAGTGGAATTCCTGTGCCACCTAGCTCATCTAGGCACTCAAGAGCAGCTGTCAACGCCTCTATCACACATGCTCTGTTCTCAGCATGACCACCAATAAACCTAAAATTAAGTTAACAAAAAAATATATACATATGTCAATAAATATAATGAATTCAAAATGTTGTTTATATATATTTTTTTAAAATATTCTTACTGCAATTCATCAACAGAGTTTATAACTGCCTGGGGACATGTGAAAGGTCCATAAGTAGAAACCGGCAAATCAGGATGGCAATCAGCTGCTTGATATGCTACAATGCCATACACAGATCCACTTCCTATACCTTCCTCTAATGCACCTCCATGGAAGTACCTTAATAACATAAATATACTTTTAATGATAGAATAAATTATATAGTATAGAGCTTATAATTACTTTCTATTTTTATAAAATCTCTTCTGTACATGTAATTAAAAGTTATCTATACAAATAAATAAAATTGAAGTGTCTGTTTGTAATGTGAAAATAACAGCTTTTTACCAAATGCTTATGAAAGTATATATGGTACTCATAATAGAAAAATATGTATCTCTGTTTGTTCCGGCTATTCATAATCTTCAAAACGGCAGCACCGATTTTAACGGAACTTTCACTGGCATATACTTTATGTTATAAGGAGTAACTTAGGCTAATGGCTACTATTATTTTGCAAAAGAATAAGGGTTCTGTGCATAAAAATTTAAACCTACTACTAATACCTAGGGACGCAACCGAGCGTAGCGAGGTTAAGTCGCTAGTCTTATATTATAATATTAAAAGATAGCTTTCAAATATTTACTCTAAAAGCAGCTTTTATCTGTGTAATGATTTAAATAAAAATAAAAAAATAAATAAATACAGACATTTAAAACATTAGATGCATATCTATACAACTCTATATACAATTACTTACTCAAGGGTTGGTACAATATAATTAGTTTTAAGTTCATTTATGTAAACGCTGTTAGCTGATGTTGTTTCGATCACGAATATTACTTTAGCTTGTATTGGAGAGTCTGGAGCGTTGACCACCATTATTAATGTATTTAATATGTTTTTTTCTTTATTTAACTAATATAATAATATTATCATTCTTATATATTATTGCAAAATTCGAGGAAAATAACAAACATCAATGAGGAAACTCGGCGTTTTTGTTATGAACATGGATGACAATTGACACTAAGGGTTATGACATATGACTAATGACGCTATTTTGACAATTAGCATATCATTTGACAAATTCGCAATAGATAATAATCAACGGGAAGAAATTCTCGAAAGGAGGGCGCCACATATATGGCCTATTTACATTAAGTCTTTTAAACGAGGGGGCATTTTTAAGTTCGCAGAAGGGGGGGTAAGAAATGAAAATAAAAGTACGAATTTATTTTTCCTTTTCAATATATTCCCCCGCTACCCGATCTTTCAATTAACTGACGAATATATTTAAAAAAAAATGTTTTGTGTTTGTCTGAAAAATATGACGAAACTGCATCCTTCACTTCTTCGTCGCTAGAAAATTTCTTCCCACGAAGCCTTTTTGTCAAGTTTGGGAATATGTAATAATCACTGGGGGCTTGGTCAGAACTGTAGGGTGGGTGAGCCAAAATTTCGAAGCCCACCCTTTGCAGGGCACCCATCGCAACACGGCTCTTGTGAACATGCGCGTTGTCGTGCAGAAGGAGGTTAAACTTTTAATTAAATAACATAAAGATTGTGATTTTGCGAATTTTGGTTGTCTTATTGCTTTAGCCCACAATTTCTTCAGTTTTTGTCTCCTGGTAACAAATAATATCCATTTTCTTTGCATCCTGGCACTGCACAATTTTACGTTTAAGTATTTATACGTTTTAATTAAATAAATACTATGATGCTCTCCTGACCGATTCCGGCCACGGCGGCCAATCTCATTGAGACCAGCCAACTGCTCAGGAGATATTATAGTGCACAAGTGCACGCTCTATTCCTGTCACTCTCATACTCTGGTGGGACGACCACTCGACACGACCAGTGAGAATAAAGGCGCAGGACCGACGAGTTTACGTGCTCTCCGAGGCACGAGGGTGAAACACCGCCAACTCCCCAACTCCGGGCTGTTACTGAGGCTTAATATACAGAAAGACTCAATAACTAAACTTGGCCCGACCCGGGACTCGAACCCAGGACCTCCGGGTGTGCAGCCGTACATGTTAGCCACCACACCACCGAAGCAGTTAAATCAATACAATAATAATATTATAAAGAGGTAAAGTTTGTGAATTGTGAGTTTGTGACGTTGTAGGGGGTAATCTCTAAATCTACTGAACCGATTTAGATGAAATTTAATAAGAAGATAGTTTGAGACCCTGGGAAGGACATAGGATACTTTTTATCCCAGAAATCATCCCTTAAGGGGGCGAAAATAGGGATGAAAGTTTGTATGGGGTATCAACCCAGGGACCAACCCGAGCGAAGCGAGGGTGAGTTTAAGACGGAGCTGGAGGGACGGCTCGACGGACCGCTCGACGGACCACTCGACGGACCACTCGAACGACGGCTCGACGCACGACTTGACGAGCGGCTTGACGAGCAGCTCGACGAATGTTGCTCGATGAATTTGGGATTGTCTAGGAGTAAAAAACTACTGCCTGAAAATGCAGAAAAAATAGTCTCTTTAGATCATAATGTTTCACTTCTAAATTTTAATTATGATAATGCAAGTACATAGAGATTTATGTATTTCATAGTTTTGTTTTGTTACTTTTTTTTTGTAATCTAGAAGGTGATTATGTACCTATGACTACTTTAATGATTATAAGAAAAATACATAATCATAAAATAAATAAATATTTTCATACCAATAGGGAATATGCAATATTTTGTTTTTTAGTTTTTTATACAATAGCTTATAGCATCATACCAAATCTCATCGAAATCTGTCCAGTGGTTTTCTCGTGATGCGTTCCCATACGGACAGACAGACAGTCAAATATTTAAAAATCGATAATAATGACACTTTGAATAAGATTTTCCAAAAAAAATATTTAATGTACAGATTCGACTCAGAATTATATTATATTACTAGCGACTCATAATCGCTTCGCTCGGGTTCGTCCCTGGGTTGATTCCCTATACAAACTTTCATCCCCATTTTCGCCCCCTTAAGGGATGATCTCTGGGATAAAAAGTATCCTATGTCCTTCCCAGGGTCTCAAACTATCTTCTTACCAAATTTCATCTAAATCGGTTCACTAGATTCAGAGATTACCCCCTACAAGTTACAGCGTCACAAGCTCACAAACTCACAATTCACAAACTTTACCTCTTTATAATATTAGTATAGATGTATACATTTTTATTTAATATTAATATCACAACAGACTGTAAATATTATTATTGTTATTATACCTAATATAAACTACGTACTGTTTTCATTCAAACTTTTTATCAAAACAACGCGTATTACGCATGTTTTTACAAAATTGTACACAAATTCTTGCGTAGTTTATAAATAAAGGTGAAACTATTACACAACAGCGTTACGTCGAAAGTGTAGGACGTAGGTATTGAGATCATTCCAAGGTTATATACGTGATGGCGGGAAATGAGAGTATCCTGTGTATATTAAAGATTAACTCAAACAAAGCTATTAAATCAATTAAATGTTTTTATTTTTAATCGCTAAAATTACTCGTACCACTTTTCTTTGTTTTCAAAATAACAGACGCGCAGTCTGTATACGTAATTTAATATCGAAACTAATTCTATATTCTGAAATGTTAATTACCATTTCAAATAATGATCTACATTACACGTTATTATAGCTTTACTAAATAACTCATGATTAAGAACAAGCAATGGATTCAAAGCAACTTTAAAATATCCTCACGCTGTCAATAACACGATTACATGAAAGGGATGCATATCTAATAGTATTTATGAGTGAGCAAGATAAAACATAAACTGACCGTGTAAAAGGGATAAAAAACTTTATCAACAAAGCGTTAGAGGGAGATGTCTAGAAAACAGTTTTAAAAACATCAAATGTTCCCTTCGTGATTGGACGCATGCGTCATAAGGCTGACTCAGGACTGTACTTAGGTTAAGTTTTAATAATAATGTTTCTACATTTAAATAATTTTCGGTTGGAAAATTTTTAATGTATGCAAGTGAGTCAAAATTATTGGAAAGTTTACAGTTTATACTGTGTCGATTGTTTTTTTCTGAATAAAGGTCTTTTGTCAAAAATTACACTCGATTTTTTCTTTATGTAATTGCCACTTTTTTGTTTACGGAAAACGGCAACGAGGTTTATTTTTCGATATATTTACTTAAAAAACACAGCGTATAAGGGCATTAAATGAGAATACATAGTTATTTTTTTTATTTTAATAAATAAATTTAAGAATACATAATTTTAATGATAACATTGAGCTTTATCGGTCATGACCGTCATTAATATATAGAGATATAATTACACTTGTGATTTTTAAATTTTTTACTACCAGTTTTGTCTTCCTCTTTCGAAGATTTTTATTTAAATTATAGATAATAAGTTCGGCCCTGGCAGAATACAATCAGCTGTTTGTAATGACAGTTCCTCTGACAAATACAAAATGGTTGAAAACTAAAGTTGGCAAACAAAGAAAGGCAGCGTAAAAAAGCAATTTAACATTAAAAAACTATTTTATTAAGTGAAAGTTAGTTAGTTTAGTGAGTGATAAGTGTTCTTTACATAATGCTGGATTTAGAAATCGTTCCGGAACGTTCCCTGGGCTGTGATGCCTGGGAGTTCGTACTAGGTGAGCTCCTTCGTATGTTTATAACGAACGTCAAGATTTTGCGTTGTATTTTCACGGGAACCACTTACGCAATGGTGTTTTCATACTTATTACAAATAATTACTGTAATAAAAATATTATATTCAGATCGGAGTTTGCATTGATTTTTTTCCAAGTGTCACGGGTCTTTGTTTCATCTGTGGTGCCAATGTTTATTTTTTTTCGCTACACTTGACCATGAAATCGCTGTTGTCATGTTTATTCATCGGTTTTTTTCGTAACAATTTTTTTATTATAAATATAGATCCCGTTACTGCCTATTTGGCACAGGATTAAGATCACATTTATGTTATAATTAGTAAGTTAAATTATGATTCATCAGATGACCTGATTTACCTTAATAAAGGCTAGAACAATAAAAACCTTATTATCATAACTGCTGGTGTGTTGTGATTGTATTGACGCATATTTTAGAACCACTTTTTATTATTGTTTTTCAAAAGTTTAATCCTTTACATATTAATTATTATTAATAAATATTATATACTTTTTAATCCATATTTAACAGTTGCATTTTAAATTATCTTTTAAATGTTATATTTGTCATGATACTTACCTTGAGGTACAAGAGGACAAGAAAAATTAATCAATAACAAACAAGCATTTAAATTCAGACTAATATTAAAATACAATTATTTGTAGTGTAACTTAAAATAAAACAGCATTTATCATCTTCATAGGTCATACACATGATATACATAATTTAAAGCTGTATAAAGAATTATTTTTACATTTATTTTGGTAACTATTTTTACAACAATCAATCAAGATATTATTTATAATATAATATAAATATTGAATATTTATGTTGGATGTGATTTACTTGCTTGTATACCTATATAATAATAATAATTCATTATTTATAATACAAATTATAGGAACAATATTCTTGTATGATGTTGTAAAGTATTGTTTTATTAACACAAATTTGAACATGAAGAATTGGCTACATTTTTTGTATATAGCTAAAAACATAATTTGTAATAGTCTAACGTGTGGTGTAAAAACTGTCTAATTGAATAAAATTAACACCATGGTAAAGAAATTATTAAACATTTATCGGGCTTATATATTACTAGCAATGCCCTAGGCTCTGCCTGCATTCAGATGACCAAAAACCAATTTCTTATTTCTTAATTCGTTTTACATATTAGTATACTCTTACATTGCTGTTTTTGATTTTTTTTCTCAGAAATGAGACATTTTCCCGCGGTATAAAGTATCCTATGTGTTGACCTGGATAACCAGCTATCAACATACCAAATTTCATCTAAATCCCTTCAGTGGTTTTCCTGTGATGTGGTAACAGACAGACAGACAGACAAAAATTCTAAAAACTATAGATTCGGCCTCTGTATCGATAATAATATTTATTTCAACAAGATTTTCGAAAAAATATTTAATGTACAGATTGGGCTTAGTTACAATTTTATTATATATGTGTAGTTTTAGAGATCTGTTTACCTTGTGGTGAGGCCATTTGAGGAAAATTAAAGTTGTATACTAGGATTTTTATTTATTCCGGGTAATATATAACATATTACATGTACATATTATTAGGCCATATTCTTTTGTCACTCAGTGATGAGATATTTGTTTGTGTGACACCATAATCTACATATAGCTCAATTAACATAATATTATGTACAGTATCTGCCTCAGTGGTGTAGTGGCTAGCATGTACGGCTGCACACCCGGAGGTCCTGGGTTCGAGTCCCGGGTCGGGCCATGTTTAGTTATTGAGTCTTTCTGTATAGTAAGTCTCAGTAATAGCCCGGAGTTGGGAAGTTGGCGGTGTTTCACGCCCATGTCTCGGAGAGCACGTAAAGCCGTTGGTCCTGCGCCTTAAACTCTCACTGGTCGTGTCGAGCAGTCGTCCCACCGGAGTATGAGAGTGACAGGAACAGAGAGTGCACGTTGTGTCTGCACGTACACTTGTATACTACAATATCTCCTGCGCAGTTGGCTAGTCTCAATGAGATTGGCCGCCGTGGCCGGAATCGGTCCGGAGAACATCATATCATCATGTACAGTAATATTAAGTAACAATAGCAAACATTTTTAATCAGTATTTTGTACACCCACATGATAAATTATGCTAATATTATCGCATATCAGGTTTAGAATGTTTTTATCCATATCATTGTTCATGACCTTGACTGCTTATCTATACTTATTATAAAAATAAGTCCCCCGGCCGCGTCTTTCTGTCCTCCTGTCTGTCCTCCTGTCTGTCCTCCTGTCTGTCTGAACGCGATAAACTCGAAAACTACTGAACGGATTTTTATACGGTTTTCAACAATAGAAAGAGTAATTCTTGAGGAAGGTTTAGGTATATAATTTATTATGCTTTTATGTAAATTAGCTGAAATACGGCGACAAATGTTGAAGAGGTCGCAAAAAATCTCGCCAAATGGGAACTTTCCACGCGAACGCCGCGTAAACTAGCAAAGATACAGTTAAGTAATGTACTAGAGAATTCAAAATCTATAAAAATGCTACAAAAAAGTCCGCGATAGCATATCTCTATCTCTTACGGTTGACTTACAATAACCACTTTTATGTTAACATTTTTAATTAAAAACATTACGTTATTTTCAAAGTTATTTTCTTTAGTTCGGTATTAATCCTTATCCAAATGAATATTTTAGTTAGCTTAGTCATTTAATGCAGATTAAAATTGCTCTTTACACTAAATCAATCAGATGAATAGTTTTTGAGATATCGTTGTTAGAAGTAATTAGTAGCGAAACATTTTTAATGCTTGGCGAGCATTGAGATGCCTACGGCGAGTCCATCCCCTCTGCCCCGCATCGCTCGACCGCCTGCTCAAGCTATATAAACCGGGCGATGTAGCGCGCGATCCTAGGATACTTTTTACCGCGGGAAAATATCTTATTTCTGAGGAAAAATACAAAAACTGCAATGTAAGAGTATACTAATATGTAACACCTAAGAATTTAGTTTTTGGTCATCTGAACGCGGGCGGAGCCGCGGGCAATGCTAGTAATAATCTAATTGTAAACAAAACTTTTATCAATAATTCTATTCATCCTTATAAAATCTATTTAAATTTATAAAGAAAGCAATATGATGCAATGTTAATAATATTATTAATATATAGTTAATCAATAAATTAAATAATAAATATATAAAATTTATAAGGAGGCATCGTCTGAGTGTAAACTTAGTTTTGTGACATATCACTTTCTGTCCTCAAAATTCAGTTGACCTTAAAAAATCTTTTGATCACAGTAAGAAATATAATCGTTTGGCGACAATAAATATTTCGAGTTGATTGACCATTTTTCCATACAAAATGTATTTATGTGTGTATGGGACAAGTTTTTGGCGATTTCTGTCATTTCTAGTAGGTACTCATACCTTAAATGGTCCCATAGTCTTTTGATCCCTATATGAAATAGGATCGATTGGCATAACATTTTTTTCGGTATTTTAGCATTTATTTCCTTTACTTTACATTTTTCCAAAATCTGTGAATGCAATTCAGAATATCTCAAAAAGTTATGGATGGTCTCCTAGGAACGTTTTTTTGTAACTATAACGGTTAAGGAACCTGTCCTTACATGTCCCGTCTTAAAAATCCATCTTGTATATGACGTGTCCCGTCCCTTAACCCTTTCACGGATAATTACGATTTGTTATCTGTAAAAAAATAAAAGCATTAAAAAAGATAAAGTACTTAGTTAACTATGTAGATATTTTATAGGTAACATCATTATTTTTTATTGTTTATTTTTATTTTCTACACACTATGTCGATGGACAAAAACATCGCTTCGATTAGCCAGTAAAAAAATTGTTATCAAACCCTTAATATAATTTGTATAGGGTGAGAGGTACTAACTTGGATTTTAGTGATTGGTAATTTTAATTAAATAATAATAAAGAAATATGTTGGGACAGTAACACACAGCACTATCTAGTTCCATAGTAAGCTACGAGGCTTGTGTTATGGATACCACATGGATAGTTGTTACACTACACATCCACGACTTAAAATATATCATCATCTGTGCTCATCACTCAAATGAATGCCCCCAGCGGGATTCGAACCCGAGACCGCTGGCACACCCAGCAACTATAAACTGAGCCAAACGTTACTTTGCAATTTTATTATGCCGGAAAAAAGGGAATCGCGGCATAGTAAAAAATAGTTTTATGAGTTTTTTCGTATGGTAAAAGTTTATGAAATTTTTGGTATGGAATGTAATGAGGGCTGAAGCAAAGTGAGAACTGATAGTTGTAATCCGTATTATTATTTAATATTATAAATGTGAAAAAGTTTGAGTATGTATGGATGTTTGATAATCTTTTACGCCAGAACGGCTGGACGGATCTGGATGAAATTTGGCACAGAGATAGATTGTAGTCTGGATTTTTTTTATTTTTTTTTAATTTATTTATTCAGATTCACCAGTGGTAATTACATTATTACAGTCAAAAATTATGCTATGTTACACAGTTCTTATTGCCAAATGCATTACCTGTTAAGGTGAATACCGCATGCAAAAATATGCGTGAAATAGTTATATACAAAAACAACAATTCTATGATCTAAAGAAATTAAATATATCAAATAAATTAAACCAATAAACAAATCTACCAATGGAATAACACATAGGCTACTTTTTATCCCTAAAATGTACGGTTCCCGTGGGATAGGTTTGTTTTTGTTTTTCTAGAGGTGAACCCGAGCGAAGCGAGCGTAAAAAGCGTAAAAAGTATCCCATATTTTGACCCGGATAAACAGCTATAATCATACCAAATTTCATAAAAACCCCTTCAGTGGTATATCCGTGATGCGGTCACAGACAGACAAAAATTCTAAAAACTATTGATTCGGCCTCTATACCGATTATTAATAATGCCTATATCAATAAGATTTTCCAAAAAATATTTAATGTACAGATTCGGCTTAGTTGACTTTTGTATAGATAA